AGTGAATCACCATAAATATTCCTCCAAAATGCTAATTCACACTCAAAATGGCAGTCATAAAAACAAACAGAAATTTCAGATGATTAAAATTAAGGACCTTCTGCTGATTTTGGCCAAAATTAAGGACTTTTAAGGACCAAAAATTAAAGTACTTTTAAGGACTCTTAAGGACCGTACGAACCCTGTAAAGGCATAAAACCCTTAACCGGAAGATAAAAACAACATAATTCAATCATTTTTAAAGCAAAAAATGTACAATTTACAAACATGTAAGAGTAAAGAAACTGAGATCACTGAGCTGGGTAACAGACTGGATAAATACGTAAATATATTGTTTCATAAGAATAAATTGAATTTAATTAAACAAATTAAATTTAAATACAAATTTAATTAAATATTCTTTGCGCCATTGTTGCAAGGAATGAAATTTAAATTTAAACAAATTTAAATTTAATTTTTAACAAACACATATAAAAGTAAAAAAGCAAATTTAAGTCCTAAAAAAAGAAAAAAGCCAAAGTAATTTAAAAAAAAAAAAAGTGCAAACATATAAAAGATTTAATTCTCGAACTAATCTACAATATCATTTAAATTCAGAAGCATAAGCAAATCAAGTGCAAAATCAATCCATGAAAATAAATTCACTAATTTAGTAAATTAAAATTAAATTAAACAATTTTTTAAAAAAATGCATAAGTGAATGAACCTTTGAGTAGGCAGGAGACAGACTTATCAAGGGGAAGTTGCCTCCAAACCTAACTCTCCAATCATTCAATTCGTGTTTCGTCATTCATGCAGGCAAGGGTAAAAGTCAAAACCAAAAGTAATACCAATAAAGTGGTACCCTTAGAAATTAACATTTAAGAATTAATAATTAAGAATTAAAGTTCTGAAAAGAAAATACTAATGAAGTCTTTTGAGAAACAAGTAAAGTCAAGAATTAAACTTTTTTCAAAAAATTTTTAAAAAAATTAATTTCCTAAAAAAATAATAAGAAACCAATGTATTTTAGAAACCCTTGTCTACAGAAACCTCCCTGACATGAATATGCATATCAATAAAAAGAAACTAAAAAAGAACTAGACATAATCCATATAAACCAATAAGAAACAAAAAGAACTAATTCACAATTTTTTTAAAAAACAAATATATATTTAAAAATATAATTTCATATTTAGAAAATACTTAAATACTACATAAAAAAATTTAAAAAATACTTAAAGCAAGTAAATAGTAAGTTTTAATTCTAACTTACCTACTATATGAGTGTTGGGGTCTGCAAAAGTGTTGTTAAAGAGAAGTGTGTTCTTCAATTATATAGATGGCGCTTATGTAGGTAAAGTTGAGTTTTAAGCTGCTATCTTTATTATAGTAAAAAAATTTTTTTAAACATTAATATTAAAAATTAAAAATCCTAAAGGTAGTAATTATCAATTATTTAGGGGTTAAGTAACTGAGCCAATCAATGAATGTAAGTTGCTTGAAGAAAAATAAAGTTAAGTGGTATTGTGAATAAAAAATTTAAACTGTTTGAAATGTGAAATGTGTGTTCTGTTGAAAAATTGTAAAAAAACATTAAGTGAAAATTTTTTTGTGAAAATTGCAAATAATTAAAGTAATTAAGAAAAACTGAAATGTGTTAAAATTAAAGTTTTAAAGTAAAATTTCCCAAAATTTTTAAAATGAAGTCCTTTAAAAAAAAAAAAAAAAAAAAAAAAAAAAAAAAAAAAAAAAATCCCAGAAATTTCTCAAAATTCCTTTGGAAGTTAATTAAAAGTATATTTAATGAAAGAAAATATTAAAAGTTTAATGAACTTGATTTCAATTGGTATATCAAACTTAACTAATACTGGCTAAAGTATGGAAAATTAAAAGAAGATTAAAATCTTCACTCAATTCGGGCTATAATTGAGACTTTTGAAAAGAGTTGGCCCTTTATTAGTAAAAGGAAAGAATCCAGTATTAATTAAATATACATATTTACAAAATATTTACAATAAAAAGTTACAAGATAATTTCTCTACTCTTTTATATCCTTCATTACCCTCCAGCTAAGGTTTAAGGTAATGTTATCATATCCAAAACAGCCAAAAAATTATAAAGTCCTGCCTTTTTAATATATAAATTAATAAATTTTGGTGGTACTTGGTTATCAACTTGAACATTAATTAGCTTTATTATTTCTTCCTTTAAATCGTCTATTTCAGTACATATATTTTTTATTCTGATAATTTGGCTATGAAACGTGTTTTCTATTACTTTTCTAGAAATGTGTTTGGCATGGCTGATTGAAACCAAAATACGAGGTGCACATCTACATGTCATAGTAGTCTTATATACAAAATTTCAATGTTCTGAGGCTATTCGTTTTTGAGTTATGCGAGATACGTACGTAAGCACGTACAGACGCCACGAAAAATTCTCTTCTGAATTCATTTTAAAGCAGTTTTTTTTTTGGAGGAAAAGAGTCTTTTATTCTGTCCTTACGTACAGATATCATGCAAAAACATCGTTAAATTGCATTTGATAGCGGTCAAAATGGATATTTTCTTTGAAATATGCTACCTAAAACTTTTCGCGATTACAATACTTCCTTTTCACTTCGTACAAGGAAGTAAAAATTTCGATTGACAAGCTAGTCGGAACTCTCAACACAGCACCTATAGGACTTTGTAACTGAATAAGAAATTATGTCTGTCTACAGAATTAAAGAGTAAGCACATAAAGTGAAGCAAATTAAACAATTTACATTGAAAGACATGTTTAATAAAGTAAAGAAATAAATATTAAGCTTTTTTTTTTGTAACTTTTATACCCTTTAGATCATAAATGCTTCATTATTTCATAAATTATGATTCCATATTTTTAATTTTATAATTTCTACATGCCTTCTTACTAGATTTAAAGTTACCAAATCCGGTATCGCCAAAGTCCCAACGAGTCTGGATCTCGGACTTTGTACTGTATAATGTTTCTGTCTGAAACAGCCCTTTATTCAAATTCTTTTTTTTTTTTAAAAAATAGTCTGCGTGTTTAATTGAATGCAATAAATCACATGAGGGATATCTACTTAACAAGAAATGTGGTTTCTTGGAAGATTAAAGAAAACCTCCTTGTATGCATGTTACATATGTTGAAAATACCCATGCAGTCAAGCCCTGTTAAACTGGGCCAAACTACCAGCATTCAGTCATACGTGGCCCTCCAAGAGGTTATTAATTTATTTTGCTCCCTGTAGAAGATGTACCTTAAAAAATTAGTTTTAAAAGCAATAGAATGTAACATGAAACCTTTATGAATCTGAGTTTTTTTTTTTTTTGGGGGGGGGCCCTCCACTTTACCTTTTAGAGAGAGTTTATAGCATGGGAAACAATCTCTGATTTAAAAAAATCATTTTAAGTGCCTCAAAAGCTGGATTCTATTTTAGATCGAGAATGTTTTCTTATTCACTTGCTCTGAAACATTCAAAGTTAGTGTTTCATGAATATAATGGGAAAAACTTCGAAGGTTTGCACTTAGTATTAGAAAACAGAGCTTATTATCACAAGTTATTAAGTTCATTTTTAAAGCTTAACATTATTTGCCATAAGACTGCAGTCATATATTATACTAATTTTGCAATATGGTATGAAACACAAAAATTGTTATGAAACTTTTTTATGGTCCGTATCGTTGAAATAATATTTAAGCATAATATTCTCATTTTTATATATTTGCATACATATGTAAGAATGGAGATGGCATAACCCAGAAACATGAAAACCATTTATGTTATTTCATTCAAAATTGCAATACTGAAATATTTATAAAACATCTTAACATTGTTTGTTTAATTAATTGTTAATAACATTTTTTCCTGCAACAAAAAATGATTACTTTCACCTAAATAATTATAATTTTACAAAAAAAAAAAAAAAAAAAAAAAAAAAACTGAAATTAAAATTTTAAATTATGAGTTAAAAATGAGATAATTATCAAAATATTCACAAATAAATAAATTAGCAGTTCTTCTGAAAGCTAAAATATGCTTATATAGAATTTTGGCAATACTAATAAATTCAATTTTTGTGAAAGTGCAGCATGCTGGCACTTAAAATACTGAAAGATGAACTGATAATCTCGAGTGGTTTGGTGATTAAGGAAAGGGGTGGTAGACCCTCAAGACCTGTTCCCTGGGGTGCTGTCCAATAAAATTGAGGCACAGCTGTACTGTTAGACTATACACGTAATGGTGAAATTCTGGTTTTCACTTACTTCTTATCCTATCCTGCCTGTTGTAATATGTACCTGTTTTTGATCCTTTGGGGGAGGCTATTTTTCAGCATGATAATGCAATATAGTACATTATGCAATGAACTTTCCTTGCCACACGGTAACACTCCCATTTTTATACCAACTGCTCAACCTCTTCCTCACTGAAAACTTTTGGGGCATAGTTGACCAGTAGCTTCAGCTTTTGCAAAATGTGCCATTTCTGGGTGTGCAATTGCACCAAACTTGGCAGGTTTTCCTTTAGAATAGCATTACATGTTTTTGTGCATTTATATTGAACACATTTTTAATGCACCTGCACATAAAGCAGCTCCCTGTCATAGTAATCTATAATAGTTCTAGACAACTCTTTGCTGCAATAAAAGATGCTACCAATTTTTCAACTTTTCTTCACAGTTTACAGCTTTTCTTTAGGCAATGAATTTTTTGCTATAGAATGTATTTCAATCCTCAGACTTGCAAGGCCATCTACATGCAGCCCAAAATACATTTATGATGCCTTTAAGAAAGCCATAATGCCATATGTGCATCTGGAAATATGTCGAAGAAATAAAGGCAATGTATTAAACACATGCATAAATTCAGGTATAAATTACCAGGGATATTTTGGCATTAAAAATCAAGAAAATACATCTTTCTCGTAACAGTTTTGAGAAATATGGGCTGACTTAACAAAACTCTGCAAATCAGAAGATTAAGTATTAAACTTAGTATAATTATTTACTTACTTTAGCCAGTATTCTATTTCCATCATTATCTAAAATGGCTATTGCTTCTACTGAATACAATGTTGGTTCCTAATAATAATAATAATAAAAATCAGAATATTGAAGAACACATTTATGCTACTGAATGTTAATATATAGCATAGATTCCAAGATAATTTTAAATGAATAAACTTTATGCATTTAAAAGATTTCTTCAAAATAATAAAAAATATAGAACCACAAATGCAATTTTGAAAGCATAATTAGGCTGTATGATAAAGAAAATAATTCATAGTTTTATTGAACAGTTTAATGTGTATTTATTTCTGGTAAGTGACAGAGAGGTTATTGAAAACGAAAAAATTTCGATTGACAAGTTAGTTGGTATTCTCGACACAGCAATTACAGGACTTGAACAGTGGAACTTTGTAACTGAGCAAAAAATTATGTCTGTTTATAGAATTAAAAAGAAAATATTAGCACAAAAACGAAGCAACTTAAACAACTTACATTGAAAGAAATGTTTAATAAAGTAAACAAATAGATATTAAGCTTTTTTTTTTTTTTGTAAATTTTGATACCCTTTAGATCATAATTGCTTATTTCATAAATTATGTATGGTTTCATATTTTTAATTTTATAATTTCTGCATGCCATCTTACCAGATTTAAACTGATGATCTATAATCTGGAAAAAAACCGATAATCCGGAATTGCCGAAGTCCCGAGGAGTCCGGATTAAAGAGTTTTGACTGTATTAAAAGGAACACTTGATCACCTGTATTTCAACTAAAGCAAATGCAGTTTACTGACGTCTTCGATTTTAACTTCAAAATCACTGCTGCAAATGACTCGTAATTCCGCGAATTGATTCAGGTCGGAAGTGCACTCTTACTAATCCTACGATAGCATTCTTTTGGATAACTGCATTGAATACAATATACCCTCTTTGCAGGAATATTTATTCCCTCATGCATTTAACCCAAATACATATTGTTCCTCTTATCGTTTATCAACTCGGTATACTAATGTTTGAAACGACAGGACAAATCTTTAAATAAGTGGCCTCTATATTACACATGTATTTTAAGGCTTCTTTGGGTGTACATTATATGGCAAATACACCTAAAAATTTTAAAAAATTAGCATGAAATTATAAATGCACATTATATACCAGTGCACGTTATATGCCGGAAAATACGGTAACTTTTCTATTAATTTTCAACCAACTAGTGACTGACTCGAGGGAAGGGGGGGGAAGACACACTGGAATATAAAAAAAGTTTTATTAATTTTTAAGCAGTGAATAAATTTATTGAATGCACCGATATCCCACCCACCCCTTCAGTCATGTGTCATGGTATGCAAACACCTTGCAAAGTCTATAATTTTTTTCATTCAATTGACATTTAAACCCTCCGAGCATTAGGGGTTTAGCCCTGAAATTTCAAAGTTCCTCAAAATGTCATGAATAAGTAGTATTTCCTTGATTTTAATTAAAAAATGGCCTTCTCATTTTGTACCTTGATTCCTTTTCTTCCAATACATCCAAACCTAAATCAGATATACTAAAAATTAGCAGAAATGTTCATGTTTAATAAATATAGAAGGCAGCCTTCTATGCGGAATTTTCCGGCCGTAATGCTGAGAAGGTTAAAGCTATCCATTCTATTTCATTTTCATTCAATAGCCATTGTGCAATAAACACAATTCATATATTTCTAATAATGTTAATATTTACATTTTACTCTATCATTTCCCGAGATGCAATGATTAATATCCTTCTTTCCCCCCTTAGCTTCTTTTGTAGTTTCTGTCACAGCATTGTTATACTATATACATTATAAATGTACTTCTGTCTGTATGCCAGCACTAGATTCAAACTCTAGTGGAATGTAATGACTGCTGAAATGTTTGCTGATGTTTTTATACTTTCTTAATAAACACTGTATTGCAATCCACTGCCCAATGAGTTATGCTATATCGAAATCTATAAGCATTGCTTTAAAACAAATACATAATTGAAATGTATTAGTGGGCCACATAAAAGTGCTTCATGGGCCACCAGTATGAGACCATTCCTGTAAAAATACTATTAGATTGTTATATTGTAACCAGAATTATAGGACATTACTTCTCAGAAAAATCCCATTACAGAGTAATAATTGATCATGAAATATAAGTTATCACTAATATCTGAACATTATCTTGAACATCTTAAAACATTATTTCATACATGCATCAAATTAATGAATATATTATTTGGATATAGGTATATTTTATTTTCAAGGCAAAGAAAAATGAGAAATACCACCAATTATATCCAATGGAGTGATAAATAATTTTCTTTCTTTTTTTTTTAGGAGCAAAAAAGAGCTAATAATAATCTCATGAAGAAAACTAGCCTACTCTAACCTTTCATTAGAAATGGCTATTTTTATCAAACACACATATAAAATCACATAGAGTCCAAGAAAGTAAACGTAACTCAACATATTAGCTAATACCATGACTATAATTTTATTTAAAGAATGTATTTATTTACCAATGGCTAGAATTTTTGGTACAGTCAAAAGTCTTTAATCCGGACATCCATAATCTGGAATGATCTATACTCCGGACCTCAAAGCTACAAACTTTCTGCGCATGCGCCAGCGCATAATGTGTTAATGCATGCACATATGCATCTATGCATGCGCATAATACGTTTACGCATACACGTTTAATGTACAGTGGTAGCTAAAATTGTGGACACTTTTGGAAATTTTTATGTTTTTGAACTTTGTATGCTTATAGAAAACGTTACGTTTCACAAAATGCAAACTTGTATATATCATTTTAAAGAGAATTTATTACTGAATTCAATGCAAAACACAAAATTCAATTATTTGCAATACAAAAAAAGTTAAAAGCTAATAGTTATCAATATACATTAGATAGTGATGACTGCAGTGAGTTATCAGTACTTAGTAGGGTACCCTTTATTTTTGATTACAGCTTCACATCGACGTTTCATTGAGCTGACAAAAGTTTTAAGCTCTTCTTTTATTGTTACATGATGCCAGGAAACAATTAGTTCCCTTTTATTTGATGGGCGCCTCATTCGGACAAAAGTTTTCAAACAGTGCCACAAATTTTCGATAGGATTGAGGTCAAGACTGTTTCCTGGCCATGACAACAATTTAAGGTAACTATTCGGTTTCGAGGGCCGTAAAAAATCGCCAAACTATTGTTGATGGCAATGCTGCCAAAAATAATTGCGGCAAGAAAAGAAGTACTATAATAGTAAATAACTATCTAAGATTAATGTTTTAATTTAGATGAAAGGTTAATTTCATATAATACTGTTTTATTATTATAATTTATATGAAAAAGGCTAAACATTACTGAATGGAAGCATAAGAGTAAATAACTATTTCAGATCATTATTATAATTTATATAAAAATTGCTAAACATAACTGAATGGGTGCCTGCATCGCTATTTCTCTACTGACTTATCCTTAAAGCATAATTTCATCTCGTTGGTTGTTCAAAGGTAATTTTCTATAATGAATGATGCCTTTACTTTGAAAATATTCTCGGTAAAGTGCAGAATCGCTCATTTATTTGTTTGCTGCTTTTTACAAGGGTAAAAGCAATTGAATTTTGTCAATTTTCTTTTACTTTTTAAGTGAAAATAGGTCGATGTGTACATAAATAAAGTCAAGGGTGTGCACAGTGCCATTTTTGTGCAATTCTGGGATTCTTTTTTAAAGTGAAAATAGGTCGATGCGCACATGGATACCGAGTATATGTACAATTCTTAAAAACGCGTCAAGCAGTGGGTGATTCTGCACTTTACCCCAAATTCTATTGCCGACTTTTCGTCATGGGAAATTCCCAAATTGTTCAATCTATAGGATATTAAAAAAGGATTTAAAATCAAAAAGGGGTTTGAAAATTAAACTAGTATTTCAATGGTGTCATAAGAATTATAGAACTATATAAACTTACACAATCTGAAATCAGCGCGTACGCTAGATTTGGCACACTGTTAAATGGACACGTTTGCTAGATTTGGCGCTTTTGCGCATACATTTTCGCTGCAATTTTTTACGGTCCTCAAAACAGAATAGTACCCAATAGCAGAATCCTGCTGAAAAATAAACAAAACATTGTTGGGAAAGAGATCTCTGATAGAAGGTAGAAGTTTTGGTTCTAGAATAGTGTCAATGTACTTTCTGGCATTCAGTGTACCATCGATGACATGAAGGCGACCCATACCATCTGCTGACATGCATGACCAAATCATAACACTAACTGTGTTCTTCACAGCTGCTTGAATGCAGTCAGGATGTAGCTCTTCTCCTATTCTACGTCTTACATATTTTCGCCCATCACTACCGAATAACGATATCTTAGTTTCATCACTCCATATAACTTGTGACCACTGATCATCTGTGCAATTAACGTGTTTCTTTGCCCACTGTAGTCTTTTTTTCGTTGCTGAAAATTAAGATAAGGCTTTTTTTGTGGAATTCTACCTCTCAGTCCAACATCTGTTAATCTTCTTCTAATTGTTCTTGAACTGACAGAAACACCAGCATCATTCAGATCACTTCTGATGGCCGCTGATGACATTTTTCTATCTTGGAGACATAGTCTTTTTATTCTTCTGTCATCAATAGATGTGGTGCACCTTTTTCGGCCTTTTCCTTCTTTGTTTTTTTATTGAATTTGTCTCCTGATATATTAAACAAAACTGTCCGACTCCAGATGTAGTCACTGAACCACCCACCTGTCTTGCAATTTCAGCATAGGAAATACCACCTTCTCGTAACACAATAATAGTTCATCTCTTTCTAGGTGTCCAATCTACTCTTTTATTTGATGTCATTGCTTCTTGACTAAATATTATAAATGTTTACAAAAATTCCTACTTGTAATTGCAGTGTATAAGAAACAGGTCCTCCTTCTACAGAACAAAATAATGAACTGTTTCAAGTGTAAAACATGATGTCAGCTTCTACTGGTAGTTACTAACATTTTATTGGTTCTCAGAACAAGAACAGTGATTGGCCAGGAAGGCTAGACATTACAAACCATTTCATAACTGTGTTTTTTATTTATATTAAAGTACATATAACTTTTTTGTATTGCAAATTATTAAATTTTGTGTTTTGTATTGAATTCAGTAATAAATTATCTTTATAATGATATATACAAGTTTGCATTTTGCGAAACGTAACATTTTTTATAAGCATACAAAGTTCAAAAACATAAAAATTTCCAAAAGTGTACACAATTTTGGCCACCACTGTATAACGAACGGTATAAGCTAAGCTAAAATTATCTAATTCAGTTAATTTTGCAGATTGTGTTGTTCCTTAATCTTCTAATTGAATTTGGCTTATTATTTTTTGCAAACTGTTAGAGCAATTTTATAAAAGTAAGCTTGAACTTTCGATTATGTCAAAAAGAATTTCCGATTCTGGAGCTACCAAAGGATCTAGAAAGTGTAAGCATGTTTCGATGTCCATCAAACAAAAAGTGGAATTGCTGCAAAAAACGGATAAAGGCATATCGTTTGATTTTCTAACCATTCCGAAATATGTTAATCAATTTCACGCTCCTCTGCCGGGGGGGGGGGGGGGCTTGCAATGAACTGGAAGTTGATCTGTCAGCACTATCCTTATCTTCAGCGCAGATGTTTTTATTTTATTCGGCTTATTTAAGAACCGTAATTCGCCCATTAATATCACATGACATATCCCATGATCTCTCATTTCCCTCACACAAAATAATGTGTAATCGGAACTGAGTACTGCTCACATTATTACCAAAGTGCCAGGTAGTAACCTTTATCGCCTCCAAAATGTCGCCAAACTACCAGTTACCATATTGTAAAGATCAACCGGATCTACAAAGCAAAAGAATGTTTCGATGTCCATCAAACAAAAAGTGGAATTGCTGCAAAAAATTTATAAAGGCATATCCTTTGATTCTCTAATCATTCCAAAACCTGTTTATCAATTTCACGCTGCTCTGCGGGGGGGGGGGGGGGGGACATCGTGGCGCGCAATGAACTAGGAAGTTGATCTGTCAGCACTATCCTCATCTTCAGGGCAGATGTTTTTATTTTATTCGGCTTATAATTCCTTACTAAATGTAGTATTTCATCTCGATGTACTCCGTCTTTGATATGATTTAAATCAAATTCCTCGTCATTATAAATATCACGAATACACATCAAATAGTTTTCTGGTTGCAATTTTCTAATTTCGACTATGCGTAATGTATGCTTTACGAATGCGGGTGTTGAAAGAAATGTTTAATAAAGTAAACAAATAAATATAATACTTTTTTTTTGTATTTGTGAATTTTGATTTTTTGTGAATTTGATCATAATTGCTCTTTATTTCATAAATTACGGTTTCATATTTTTAATTTTATAATTTCTGCATGCCATCTTACCTGATTTAAACTGATAATCTATAATTCAGAAAAACCAATACTCCGGAATCGCCGAAGTCCCAACGAGTCCGGATTAAAGACTTTTGACTGTAGTAAAATATAAAGTTACTTTTTACATTATGTAAAATTTAGAGCTATGTACATAATACTGTATTGAAAAGGGAAAAATTCCCAATTTTCTTACATTATCTATTTACCTATTTACATAACAGAATATTCAAAAACTGAAATTTCAAATTTTTTAACATTATACATGCATATATTAAAGCACTGCTTATTTCCTTTATTAGGAACAAATGCATAATTATGCAAGCTTTAGTGCTTTAAACCCTACCTACTGTGCAATTCTTAGAATAGCGCCAAGGCTGTAATTTGTATTTGGTTGCCATCAATGTACATTCCAATATAACACTAAAGGAATATGAAAAAATAAATTAGCACAGCACAAAATAAAAGGCATGAGAACAAAATTGGCAGAGCACAAAATAAAAGATCTAAGGAAATGCTTGAATGCTGACCAAATTGATTCTATGGAGTTGGCATGCACACCCATATGAGGATCCTTAAGTGCAGACTATGGTTAACGTGTAGATGCAAAAATTCTTCATCAGATAGGAAATCGTATGCTTTCCAACAGTCTGATACTATCATAGACTCTGGTTAACCCCTCCTCATGAATCAAAACCAAAAGTTTTTCTTTGGTCCATCATTCAACCACTTTAGCAAAACAGTTATTCATTCCTCTTTCAACACCTACAAACAACCACTGACTTTTAACAAGTTAATCTCTTCCATACTTTACCAAATTTTGATCTATTCACTTTTACACTCACTCCAAGTTTCCAGCTATTCTCTAACACACTAATCATGCAAACATTTTGGAAAAAACATAAACTAATCCCCAACTGCATGACCATAGATCTTTGCTTCACTTATAACAAAATCATTCAAACATCTTTCAAACCAATATCTTGATTACTTGTAGAATCTGACACAAACTCAAATGGCTGAGGAAAAACCACAAAATCTCTTTTTATGCTCCAGTAAACAGGATGAGGAATACCTCTTTTCTTCCTACATTTCTAATTCATATCCAGCAGTCGTATCTTTCCTTTCTAACAATCACATGCTCCCACCACATTTCACATTGGTGCAATTAATTCTTCACTTATGCACCAATCCAGAACTGCATGTTTACTTTTCAGTTCCAAAATAGTAAAAAACTGAGAAATGCATTCGCTCTCCACACTCAAATTCATACCTTCATCCACAGATCTGGTTTAAACTTAGGAAAATGAACATTAAAATTTTTATAAAAACCAAACTCATTCAAATACATTATTTTAAAATAACAAAGCTAAAGTGATTTAAATTAACTAATTTTAAATTTGAAAAAAGCTTAAAGAAAACCTTGTGTTTGGCCAAAAACTATGACAAAATATGTCTGCTGCTGCTGCTGCAAAAAAAAAAAAAAAAAAAAAAAAAAAAAAGGTGACGAAATAGGAGCTCACAAGTCAGAAAACATATTTTAGGGTTGCCATCTGAAAAAGGTTGGCAAGAAAAATAGGTCTTATTGCCAAACAATAATTTTGTTGATAAGGATATGGGTTAAAGGACATTTCACCCGATAAACTGTAAAGGAAGAGAAATGCTTTAAATTACATCAAATAATATTATCTTTTTTTTTAAATACGAAAATTCTTGATTTTAATAAAATTTTTAATGTTCTAAGTAAGAATTTTAAGCATAAAAAATCTCTAATACCAATAATTTATAGTATTTTTTTTTAAATAATTTTGAGAAAAAACTGAAAACTGACAAAAACTTTTCTTCCAAATCTGAAATTACTACATACCATATCTACATATACGAAATACTGCAATTATTCAGCGACTAGTAAATGCACAAATGACCATGAAATCAGTGCTTGAGATAATTTGTAGCTCTAGAGCAAATGAAAATTAGATATAGGTAATATTTACAATTTTTCAAATGATTACATAATTGTTAATTACTTATATTGAAGCAACTTAATGTTCTTGATTATTGAAGTCAAACAACAAGAATCAGCGTAATATTTGTAAATTCTGAAGGACTAGTTTTGATGGTTCTATAGTTACACTATCGAAACTAGCCCTGCAAAATTTACAAATACTATTACTTTCATTATTGGTGTTTGACTTCTCCAGTAATCATTATTCAGCGTGTTATTTTAACATGAATTAACTGTTCTTGGTTCAAATCAAAATACTTAAAGAGAAATGGAATTGACAAAAAGCGCAGACTATAGATTTTAAGTACAGTATTTACCACATTTAACATACATACGAAAAACACATACTTTTAGCATATCATCAACGCCAAAGAAGTACATTAGCATTTAATTTACAGTTCTTGCTATCAGGACATACCGGCTAGTTTAGTTCTCTGAGAATGTTCGGGGATTTTATTATTTGCAATAACTACAGTATACATGCATACTTTTCGATAATATATATATATATATAATTAGTTAAAGCGTATTTTCTGATTTTAATTTACTCATTAAATTATTCAGACATAAGAAATCAACTACAGCTGCAATGAAAAAACAAAATTATTTTGTTTGCTCTTAAACTGCCAACATTAAAATTTAAATTCGTTTTAACTGACCTAAAAATTGGAATATTTAAAAAGTTCTACATTTCATACCATTAATCCAGATTCCATTTCAATAGAAAATTTAATGACAGACACTTTCTATTTCAGCTACAAATAAGTTTTCCGCACGTAAACAATCAAGTCGTGTCAGCATAGAAGTACTAGTTGAGTTGTTTACGGAAAGCTTTCTCATTTTGATTATTAGATATGTAAAATTCCTTTTATCTGTTACATCAATAAAGGAGGTATAACCGTGAAGTTTTAGCTCCCTAAATGCAAAATAATTATTGGAAATTTTTTACAATGTTGAAAAAGTATAGTCAGTTTTATAGTCGAAAGGCATTTTTTCCGAGGAAATATATTTTAAACAGAAATGATATACGGCCCCAGAGAGAAGAAGTGAAGAGCAAAAGTGAAAAATAGCGGTACTGAGATGTGTGTAAATGATGAGGCAACTATAGTTTTCTTAAAAATTTTTGAATCTATGTAATTATTTTTCTTTTGTACAAGTTGAATATTCAATAATGACTTGCTACCGCAAAAAGGATGGTGGTCCGAATGTGAAGTTTTATGAATCACCTGAAACAATTACACAGTTTGACACCGTTCGACAATGGCTCCAGAAAAATTGCAAAAAGGTATTTTTTTCCTCTCTCTGTCGTTATAGATTGGTTTCTAAAGTTATGTTTCCAAACCTTCATAAAAGTGTATGAGCGGAGGACTCAGTATTAGAACAGTTAAAAAACAATGCTTGTCAGATGAGACCTTATTAGTATATTTAGGTAGTTTTCTAAATATGCCTTTAGTGAAATATTAGGGTTATTTAATCTTTTGAAAAAGTTCTTAATCCTAACAACCACTGTATCATCAAATATGTACTTCTCCATTGCGTTGCTCCTTTTTCTGCTGGCTTCCTAAGAATGGCATCAATTTTGGGAGTTCCCGCTGCTTAACTCAATTCACCAATGAGATTAGTAACTAAATGAATCAGTTTAATCAATAATGGCAAATTATCACGTCAATCCCGCTCTCTTATATTTATTTACTAATATGCCAATAAAATAGAAAATAACTATTTATTAATGTATATAGCCCATAAATAAAAATATTAACTCAGTTTGTCATTAACTTTTTTTTTTCAATTCACTTTAATTTCATTTCAAATTCAAACTGTTCAACAAAAACTGGAGTCGGAGTCGACGTGTTCAATGAGGCATCATGACATCTTGCTGAGCCCATATAGCAGAACTTCTCATGGTGAGAAAATGCTCCTGATGCTACATTAAAAGCAGTTGCAGGAACATATAATCCAAAAAGTGTGTATGAAAAGTAAACAGGATTTTGAAATGTAATCATGCTGTCAACTTGGGGAAAAAAAAAAACTGGAGCCATAACAATAAGGAAATATCATTCATATTTCATTCATTAGATTATAAATCCACTGCTGTTGAAATTGAATGTTGTTAAAGGAAAATAAAGTCAGTTCATATTTCTAGCCAATTCAACATTTTTTATAAAAATGTTTTAGTCTTCTACAAATATTTTATAAAAAATAGCATTGACATTTTCTCCACATATACATTTTGCAAGCGTAGGAAGTGAATGAGTTTTTAACATGTTTCAGTACTTTGATGCAAAATGAAATGTTTCTGTGAAGTCAGATAGTGAGCATACCTATCAAGATTAAATTTGAAAATTTCAATAGTTTGTACGGAATAGAATTTCTAAAGGTTATTGAGAGTATCAAAACAAAAAATTTGTTAATCAAAATTTCGTTAAAAGAAAATCCATTTCTTAACTAATTAAAGAAAAATTTATGAAAAAGTCTCTAGCATGTATTCATTTTGAAAATGTTCAAAGATATAAAAATAAAAGTTAATATTTTTTTTTTTTTTTTTTTTTAAGTATATTCAAGCAGATCCTCCTACTGCAAAGGGGCTAGCAGCTCTTGTAAATCAACTTGTTCAGTTCCAAGAAGAAGCATTTGGGCGTAATGTCAGTAAACCACCTCTGACAAGACTTCCTGTAAGTTTGTTTCTTATAGAATATTTTATTATCCAGTATTGTATTTATTCTTTAATAAACAAACTATAATAAATAAATAATTGATAAACTTTTTTTTTTTTTTTTAGTCAACAAAGTTTTGAATAAGTAGAATAATTTTTGTTGCTTTGTGTGTAACTTGAATTGATTTATTTTTCTGAGAATATATATAGGATTTTATTTTGTATGACCCAATAATATTTTTCAAGAATTACTTGGAATACTTTGTTGCAAAGTTAAAAAAATATTAATATTCATTAATTTTATTTCCTTAAACTAAAAATGAAAGTCTTTTATTGCGAGCTTATTTTTTAAAAGACTGTATATTGTACTTTTTAAATAAATAAATAAAAAAAACTTATTTTATGTAATATTTTAAAAACCTACCAAGTTCTTTTTAGAAATGTTGGTTCTTTTATATATTTCAATATACATGTATTTGTTTTAATATTACTAATGAATTTTCTTTTCAAATTTCAGATGAAATGTTTCCTTGATTTTCGACCTAGTGGAGCATTGTGCCATATTCTGGCATCTGTTTACAAGTTTAAAAGTGAACAAGGGTGGTAAGAGCATTTGTAAATTGTGTTCTGTAATTTAATAACATTTTGAATTTAGGTTTTGTTTGTTAAAATGTTAGATTTTGCTTAGTTAAATCTCATTTGAAATAGAAGAATAAGTTATACTCCAACTACTAAAGTGAGGGTTTTTTTTTTTTTTTTTTTTTGTGCAGTATTGCTTAAATGTTAGTTGTAGATGTTGATCGGTGCTTAACAGGTTTTTTTAGTTGTTTTAATAATAGAAAACTGTTTTTTAACAATATTCATGTAAGTTAGGTTCATTAATCTATAGTTATGGTAATATTATTATAATCCTGAAGTTCTAAGTTAACACAAGTTTTGTCATAAATACCCATCAATATTAGTTTTTCATCTCCAGAAGGAACTGCTTGTCTTGAATATCAGATTTACAGTTTAGACATTTGAATAAAGTATCTCAATTTTTAGATTATTTGATAAGCATTAATTGTAAGTGAATTATCAGGCTTAAGTTCGTATATTTGGTATTTAAATAGTATATTTAATTTCTGAGTAAGCTTAATTTGTTTACGTATTTTTAGGAGGCGATTTGATTTTCAATCTCCATCTCGAATGGATCGAAATGTAGAGATGTTTATGACCATTGAAAAAACATTAGTACAGAATAAATGCTTAACACTTCCAAACATTTTTATTATGCCTGAGGTAGAAAAACAACTGGTTCCACGTTTGAAAGATATCATCAAGCGGCATCAAGGCACCATTGCGGAAAATCCTGATGATGCTTCACATTTAGTTCATCCACCTCTGCCAACAACTGACGGACCTGGTACTTATTTATTTTTATTTCTTAACTATGCACTTATATACATATGCCTAGAATATATGGTAGGATAGACATAAAAAAATTTTTAGAAATATGTATAATTTCTAAAATTTATCCATTTGCCCCTAAATTACAAAAAAGTTAAAAAATAAAAAGTATTCAGAATGAACACGCTGGAGAACTTAATTTCTTTTATTATGTAATAATATGAATCAATATTTCTTAAAATTTTGACCCTGGATCCCTAGATTCAGGAAAACGATAAAGGGGCTGCAAGTAATTTTTCCAATTAAAATTTGATTTGTTATTTAACTTGAGTGGGAAAAATATAATAGAAATATGGAATCTCAACTAAATTTCCCAAGAAAGAAGTAAAGCAATTTACGTAATTAAAATGTGTAAAGTTTTATTTAGTTAATTTAGAAGTATTTAACTTGCAAATTTTAAGGTGTAAAATGTATTTCCTTCAAAAATAAAATTGATTATTGGGCTGCTATAATTATGCTTATGAGCTGTTTAGAAGGGGAACATAACAATACCTTTGAGATAACTGTGCAAACAGCAGTTTTGTTTGCCAACCTACTCTTATGATCATTAATTTGTATGAATATATATATGGCTTATTAATTGGCGTAGATTATTTAGTTAGCATTTACTTGCAAATAATGTCTTAAAAGTAAAACTAAAGCATTTTTTCAGCAGAATGCCAAATTTAAATGAAATAAAAAGACACAAGGTAACATTTTGCATTCTTAAATAGATACAATTAAATGCATTAAAAAGCTAAAAACCTGAAGTGAAATAGTATATAAAAAATAAATACGTGTGTAATAATACATTTAAAATCATAAATGCATATATAGTCACTTTATCAGGGCTACTGTTTCATCTAATTGATTTGGTAAACATGTTGGTATCCTGTGTAGAACAGTGAGTTTACTTTAAACAATATTCATTGAAATTGTAGAAGATATGACACAGATAAGAAGGATTTAAATACCCTTTATTCTTTGCAGTTTACAGGTGTTCCCGCACTTCAGGATACAAAGACCAGTACTTGTGGTCCGAACGTAAAAAAATAAGAACTACAAACTAAACTATAAACTCAAATGCTTTACAAAGACTATCAACACAGAGATTGGCCTTTTAATCTTTACGTATGTAGTACGCCGAATGTTGGAAAATTACAATACGTCTTCAGTATCAAGAGAACTAAATTTCTGGCCTTAAAGGCAGACAACAACTGACTGAAAAGCACGTGTGAAGTAAGGTGGCGAAAAGTCTCTTTCTCAACCCATCTTGGTTAAAAGCCACAAGATAAATACTTAACAGTTTGCAAGCTCAATTTGCATACTAAAACTAACCACATTTATTCTGGCCGGAAGTCGAAAGTAAGAGGAAAGTAAAGTTTTAAAATAAAATAAATGTTAAAATCCTTATAACTTGACGTCGGTGATGTGTTGTTGTAGGAAAGATGTCACATAAATAAAATCTGAGCATTTTAGACATCACGAAAAAAAAACTGCCAAACCTGAGTTAGGTAATTGAAAGATATTAATAAATACTCCTATACAAAGAGTATAATTTAGAAATAATCTTTAAGAAAATTGTCATAGGGAATTAAGAATCTTGATATCTTTTAAAACTGAAAGATATTTATATTACAGATATATAGAGGTTCTCTCTCATTTGAAATCTTAAATGAAAATGGAAATGATGAAGCACAATTTAATCATTTTACTAAAACATGCTAGATAGAGTGTAGCACTTACTCTACACACAAGCACTTTTCTGCAGATACTTTTGTGTCCAATGCTCATCTTAAGTATCCTATTCTAAAGCAAACTAGAAAAGCTTCCTCTTTATGGTATGCTGTAAAAAGTCAAGTTTCCCTAATCTGTGTCAGGTATAATATGAAAATGTGCTACTCAGCATTTCAGCATGTAAATTTAAATTTAATTTGGTAAATCTTCCAGAAATTGTGTATCATTGCAACTTAAATCATGATTCTCAGCATTGACTGCCCCATTCACTGTTCCCCATGTGTGTTTAGCCTCTTAAAATTGTTTGCTTTTAAAGGATATTACAAGTAATATATGGAACTGAAAATAAATGATATACAAAGTGTGAAATCTGGACATCCATTGATATCCGAAATGATCTAAAATCTGGACCTCAAAACCACTGTTGCTTAATAAGTGACTTATAGGTTCGGAAATCTGAGCTAACACTTTTTAAAAAACCAACATTTATTTTTCATGTAATGCTTCTGCGCATGTGATCCTCATGACAAACGAATTCATTAGGGTTGCCACAATTCTCCCACCTTTTGAGTGGATGGCTACACATTCAAAACATAAAACTTACATCAATATAAACGAGGGTTATGTAACAAATAAAATTACTTAATACTTAAATCATATTACTTGAAAACAAAATTAATACTGAGGAATAATACAACAGTAATAGCACAACAAAATAAATCATAATAACTCAAAGACGTGAATTACATTATTTGTGATTTTACAGCTCTATCACAACTGTTAGTGACTCTGTATCGGTCTCAAGAATTTGGAATTATTACTTTTCACAAGAGCAACTCTTATGTTGCCATCTCGACCAGGGATCACCCGAATAATGCGTGCTAAATTCCAATATGCACAGTTTTTATTTTGATCCTTCAGCAAGACAATTTCTCCTACAGAGAGAGGTTTATTTTTGTAATTTCTGGTAGACTGCTGTCTTAACTTCCCTAGATACTCAGCGAAATCTCACTCTTAACAATTCTCTCATTCTCTGGAGATACTTCGCTCTTCTACTGAATTTTTCTTTGTGCACATTGTCAATATCAGGTACACCCGTCTGTGAAGTTTCATGCAGAAATTTTTCTGGAGTTAAAGGCAAGGGATCTTCAACATCGTCAGACACATACGTAAGTGGTCTTGAGTTGGCAATTCTTTCACAATCACACAAGATGGTGAGTAACTCTTCATAACCAAAAGAAGCACAACCTAAAATTTTTCTCAATATTTGTTTTACAAATTGTATTAAATGCTCCCACTATCCAACCCCACCAAGCGACGGATAGAGGATTAAATATCCATTGTATTCTCTTTTCAGCTGCTTTAGAGGAGAGGCAGTCCCAGTCAATGGTTTGCAGAACTCTTTCTGCACCTACAAATTCTGTTTAGCTGTACACTGATTTGCTGTATGGTTTTTCTTAAGACACACAAAACAAGCATTCTTTTTCTTAATGATATCTCTCTTACATTCTAAACTCATTAAAGATGCATTACAACTTTCAGACAAATGGGACTTTTCACAAAAAATACAAGTATCAGACTTTTTATGCTTTTGAAAATTTTCTTTACATTTACTATTACTACTATTTGCATTAATTAGTTCATATGCAGTTGGAACAACAGGTTTTGTGTCAAAAAAAACTTATTTTTCTTATTACTTTATCAGAACCGAAAACATCACGGGTAAGTTTAACTCTAAATTCAGTTTCTACTTCCCTTTTTAGAAAATCAATTAATGACTCCAAATCACTCTTACCTGTTGTTTCAGGAGACATACCTCGTTGTATTTCCCAAATTTGTATTAAATCAGCAGGAAGTGCTGATTCCACACAAATGAAATAAAACAACTGTAAATTTAGTTAAACTGAGTGATTCCAGTACATGTAGTTGAGTTTGCAACTTGTCATAAAGAGTTAATAAGTTGTCTTTTGTTTGTCATTGATTACCAGTTTTAATAGTTCTCTAACATAAATTTGAATGAAAACATTTTCATTTCCAAATCATTCTTTTGAGATATTCCACAGCTTTTTTGTAATTTTCTTCTGTAGCAAGAAAACTTTCCACTATTGCTCTTGGCACGGTCTCAGGTTTTGTAGATTGCAGTAGATAATGAAACTTGTCTCTCTGGTTGATTTGAGTATCTTCGTGTATTTTACTAAACCTCGTCCAAAACGTCAACCAGTTTCGGGGGTCTCCATCGAATTTCACTAGCCGATCTCTGGCAGTTTCTGTTTTGCGGCCGTAACTATTCCTGATGAAGAACTGCTATTTGTTGAACCAGTAGAAGGCTGTGAACACTTATCCTTTTTTCTGTTGACTTTTACTTATAACGTAGGTAATTTATCGTAATATTCTTGAGCTGCACTAAATTCCCTTTCGTATTCTTCTTGAGTACAGCCTTTTTTCTGTAGAAGTTCCATCCGTATTTCGTAAAGTATTATACTTCTCTGAAATTTGATCTAAAGAAATTTCTAAATCGTCCAAATCCGGAGAATCTGATCGTATAAGTTCTTCCAACTTATTAGCTGTTTTCGTAAATGCACTCCTAATGGCTTTCCGCTTCTGTTTTAGTATTTCTAAATCTCCATGTTTGCACGTAGGAACTTCTCTTGTTTTCGTAAATTATCAAGTGTCGAAATCAATAATGTCACCCTGTTAATTCATGATGGCTAGGCTTGACAATTTTGTTGCTTAATAAGTAACTTATAGGTTCGGAAATCTAAGCTGACACTTTTTAAAAAACCAACATTTATTTTCACACCATTTTTTCTTCTACAAAATCTTAAATGCAACTATTTATCAAACAGAAAAGGATACGTAGACGTAATGCATCTGCGCACGTGATCCTCGTGACAGACAAATTCATTAGGGTTGCCACAACCACCAACAACGTTTTCTCGTAGGCTTTACACGTGTGCATTTGATTCCCTCCTTCATGTATAATAAAACATCTAGAGAGTCCTGGTTCTTAATTTTACTTTGACACTAAATAAAATACCTTGTTATTGAAGAAACAATTATTTTAGCATAAATTTGTTCGATCAGTAATCTGGCTTCGTTGCTGCATATGTGCTTGGCATGCATCTCAAACGCAAACATTCCACATAGATACATCGTTGATCTGATGCCAACCCGGGGAATCATTATTTATTATACTTTCTTTTCATCACCACATGTTTATCAAAACATGACAAATTGGGTAATGACTCATGTAGCAATGCCTAAACAATTTTTTTATGTTAGTATTTGAATAATAAAGGATTATGGTAACCTTTTATGTTTACATTACGCCTGGCAATGATTACAAATTTAAGTTAAATGTGCTAAAAAATGTTGACGAGGAAAGATTTACCAAAAGTTTCTTTCCACATGCTAAAAATAGATTTTGTTGATGATATTCATAGACCCAAAGATTACATTTAGGGCTATTTGAATTAAGAATAATTGATTTGCTATTCACATAAATCCAGAACCAGCGCCAGGGCTCGTGTGGCCGCATCGAGTCAGAGAATTTAGAATCAGGCTGTAAGATATCTAGTGCCGGCTCTCAATAAGGCTTAATTATATGGTGGGAATTTATTTATTCAGAACTCTGATAAGCCTTAAGCATGTGCAAGAAATAGACATAAGTATAATAAATAAGTAAACTAATACAATTCCAAGCGTAATTGTCTCAGTACGCGATAGAAGCAAGAATAAAATTTAATGGGAACAACTTGTCGTTAGTCGCCAAGCTCATGATGCATAGCCAAATATGTGTATAGGATGTTAATTTGTGTAGTGAAGGATAGCTAAATTTGATGATCATAGCCACTAATTTTAAAGGTTTTCGGATATCGCAAAATAAAGGTGAACTTTTCCAATTAATGGTTTTGTAAAGAAATGGGGAGGAGCGGTAATGAATGAAGATTATATAAAGGAAGTATTTCATTGTGATGACTATGCTTCTCAATCATCAATCAATTAATGAATGACGAAATCTGTAGTATGGTTCTAGATCCAGAAAAACCACTGCTGATAGTTAAGAAAGTGACAGAGAAGTTACTGAAAACAAGAAAATTTCGATTGACAAGTTTATCGAAATAGCAGTTACAGGACTTTAACAATGTAACTAAACAAGAGATTATGTCTGTCTACAGAATTAGAGAAAGTATTAGCACAAAAAACAAAGCAACTTGCATTGAAAGAAATGTTTAATAATATAAACAAATATATATTAAGCTTTTTTTTTTGCAAATTTTGATAATCTTTAGATCATAAATACTTCATTATTTCATAAATCACCATTTTATATTTTTAATTTTATAATATCTACATGCCGTCTTACTAGATTTAAACTGATGATCTATTATCCGGAAAAATTCCAAATCTGGAATCCCTGAAGTTCGTACAAGTCCAGATTTCGGACTTTGTACTGTGTATAAAATTATTGTATTTAATAAATATATGTAATTTATGTATTGATTAATGTATGAATTATTTTAATATTTAATAAAAAGAGATAATTCTGATTATTTCTGTTTGTGGGCGTGACATCTGCATTTAACTTTTCTAGTCCTTTTTGGTCATGCTAATTCAACTGTGTCAAATCTATGCCATTAAACTTTTTGTACACTTTGAGTCTATCAATCAGGCTGAGGGAGGGGGGGGATCTTTCCTTGAAATTATCCTCTTTCAAGAAAATGAGTTTCCCCAAATGAGTACCTGTACTTAAATTAAGATAAAGCTTTTATAGTTGAAGACAATAATGGATCTTTGCTGTTAATTAGTTGGCTGATCGAGAACTTCTGTTCCTGCAACTTTCCTAAACTTTATGAATTCTGTATACCTGAAAAACAAAGTTTAAACTAAAGGTTAAAACTGTAAATAATAAAAGCTCACAAGTTAAAAAAGTTTATTAAAAAAAGAAAGGTTTACAACTTATAAGGCAAATAAAAAAAATCTGTATTATTTATCATACAAGCTCGTGATTGTAATATTAGCATTATGGATACCTTGTTAGTTATTATGGATATTATTATGTGTAATTGCAATTATTTTATCCAATTCTGAATTTATTATATCATTATAAAGTTGTGATAATTGCATTTTTGTGTTAATTTTCTGTATTCTAGAGGACTGGGTTCGTGTTGTCTTCAGAAGAGACAAAAGTGTCATGCTGCACTGGTGGTTTTATCCAGACAGGTGTGTTTAATTTTTTAAACTGTTGAAAGAACTAACAATATGAAATTTTGCTCATATTTTCTCTTGCACATTGAAGAAGATATAAAGTGATTTTTATTCTTCTAATTAGTGAAATTTCCTGTTAAAAGAGGATAAAGTAGTCAGTTTAATGCAAATTTATAACTTATGATTTTTTTGGATATTTTTAATTTAAAAAGCATTATATATGATTTTTTATTTGTTATATTAATTCATATTTATCTAATAAGGGTAAGAATGGAATATTGGGAAATATTTAAAACTGGCATGTTAATTAAATCCATTAAAATCTGATTGTCATCTAAGTTAAGTTATTTGTCAGCAATGAAATAACACTCAGTGAATATCGGCAATGATATGTACAGTTTAAAATTAAATTTACTGCTTGTATGTTTAGGATATTTTTAAACTTCATATAGGATTTCTACCAAGTGCAGAAATAAGTGTAAAAAAAGTGTTAAAAATTATTATTATTGTTAAAATTGCTGATTGCTGATAGAACATTATATAATTTAAACAGTTGTTTGAAATGAACTGACAGTGTCTCATCATGTATAATATTTAAAAATGTAAGTAAATACATAATAATAATAAAACAGCAAGCTTTTTTCTTTTAAATGAGATTTAAATATGATTGACCCAAATTAACCCCTTCGAGCCGGGTAGCGAAAACGCGTGCTTATCGCGGAGTCCAGCAGTGTCTTCCGCGAGCGTCTCTCCAGGGCCGGAGGCTTTTTTGCTACTAAGCCTAAATCCATGAAATTTCCAAAGTATCAACGCATTGTTTAATAATGCTCTATAGAGTATTTAAACGCTTATGCTTTATAAATATTTTTATATATATACTTTAATTACCTTATTTTCTTGTAAATACATATTTTACACATTTTATTTTAATTACTCACCATTTTATGACTTTTAACATTATACATCTGAAAACTAAATATATTACTTAAAATTCTCTTTTCGTATGAAAAATTTTAAAACAGGGATCTACACACAGTCCTACGTTACATTCCTTGAACTCGTAATAACTCATTTGCCGTTTTGGAGGATTTTTCCGGGAATGTGAACAAACGAAGCACCGTCATCTCATTTTCTTATCAGTCTCTTCTGAACAAAGTTTTGGAAAATATCTTTCAGTTAATCTTTCAGAATCAATATCAGAATTTCAGAATCAATATCTGAAATATTTTGCATCATTTCTGCTATTTCATGCTCTGTTAAACATTTTCGACGCTTCGACATTAAAACGGTAAAAACAGAAAGAATTCACGTCTAACAAGATCTAATTATTTTTCTAAAAACTGAAACTGTAGACCGAAATACTACTCAACACTTTAGCGCATATAAACTTCTACTTACAATAAACAACTACCACGTGCGAATAAAGTGCAATTTAAAGAGACGTCATAAATTACGCCATTCGGAAACATTTAGTTCCCCGTTTGTTTATATAATCAAAAAACACGTGTATGTGAGTCATGCTTCTCTCATTTCGAGTAGAAGGTCTAAGGTATATGTATCTGAAACCATATGGGCATACAGTGCCATCTTGTGGCAGAAATTATAGTTTGAAAAACGTTCCAAGGTACTGGCACAAATACATGACATTCGGTAGAAAACGCAACAATGCTCTGGCACGCCTGCGTGTCGGCCGGTAGATAAGTGTGTTAGTTGCTGGCACGTATACGTGACAGTCGGCGCGAAGGGGTTAAGAAAGAAGAGGAGCCTTTTGTAAGACGTGTTGAAAAACTCTATTCAGTACTGCAGAATTTTTAAAGAGTTATTGGCCCAAGAAAAAATCACCAGGTTTTTAAAAAATGATTGTATGATGTACTTATTAAGTAGTAATATAAAACCTTTCAATTAACTTTTGTTTCCCTTTTAATTACAACAATACTTAGGTTTATTTAAAATCATATACATATTCTTAATCTAATTTATGCTTAACACATTTTTTCCCCCTTGAAAATTAACTTTGTGAAGTGTGATTTTTATCATACATGCAAATGTATTAATTGTGTAACTTGATGCATGATAAGGATTTAGTGTACGTATGATTATGTATAAATAATCAAATTTTAAAATTTGTAATAATCATTTCAATTATGTGTGTATGTACAATTATAATTTAAGTACATTGAAATGGTTCATCGGCTAATTCTAGATACAGAAAAGCAGGGATTGTGGAAGAGAGATTTCAATTAATTTCAAAGATAAAGTGACACTGAGATTGATTGAATTCCTCTTCTGTTTTTGTTCATTTTTCTTTAAATTTAATAATTTTTAAGAGGGGTTTTCCTTGTTTGAAATGTTTTAGTTTTAACATTTTTAAATTTGTTACATTTCTATGGTTATTTGAAATTTATTAATTATGAATTTCAATTTCTGGTCTTTGTGAAACATTAGTTCTAAATTTCTTACTTTATGTCTGTAAATACACATATGTACAATTATATGTGTGTGTATATATATGTATGTATATTAATATATATTATTATAAGTTTAAAATCATCTTATCATTGATAAATTTTACGGAATTCAAAACTCAATTTTTTTTTGGTGGACATGTATATTTTTTAGTTATTTATAATTGATAAATTTAACATTTATTGTCAGCTATGATACATGGGTCACTGCGCCTGAGATTGATCAAGAGCCAGAGTCACCAGAAGCACAAGATGGACCATATGAAGTAAGTTATTTTTATACTGTAGAAGTTGATATTCAAAATATGTTAAATGAATGTATATACAGATGCTTCTCACCTTATGATCAAGTTTTGTTCGTAATGAGGGTTTGTACCACGAATTTGTTTGTAAAATGTTACTAGGTTTACTATGCATATGTCCTAGCAATGTTTGTAGTATAAAAGGATGTAAGTACTTTTGAATAAACAATTAAAATGCTAGAACAAATAAATAATATATTTTGGATGGAAATATAACTACATTATAAATAAAGAATTATGAATAAAAAATTACTCTACGGTATGTACCTTGGATTATTATTTTTGAGCCACATATGGATACAGTAAGGATGGGGCATAGTTGAGGTTCAGTGTCTGGCTTGCCCACTGAAGGCTCATTTACAAATAAAGGGGACATTTTTGATGAGGAGGCAGTATGAGAGAGTCTTAAATGGGCCATTAACATTGATTTTTTAAGAAAATAAGTGTCTAAACAGATTTTCTTTTATCAGAAATAAGATGATAGCACTGCATGACATCATACACAGCTGTGTTCTTTTCGACTTCTAACAAGTTTCACTGTTTGAGAGCAGGTGTATTCATATCTGTGAATGTTCGTATTGTGGACAGCTTCTGCATAAAAATAGGTCATAAATTATGAAATTTTTGTAAATTGAATAATTTGCTATTAAATAAAATTTTCTGATTGAAATTTTAAAGATGTTATTATTATAATCCTTTTACATAATCCCTCCCAAACTCACTATTTTTATTAAAGGAAATCTCATTGCTCAGACATGAAATGAAGTTAAAATTCATAGTAATAGTGACTCAATGAATGAAAAATGAATTTCTGATTTCGTAAATTAGAAAGATTTTGCAAAGGATTAAGCATGATTCAACATATTTATAGTATTTAAAAGTTTAAAATAAGAAGCACAGTGAAAAAATGAAGAAAAGACCAAAATAAAGACTAGAGGATTTTGTCAGCCCAACACCTTGATACAGGGAGACAGGAGGAGCATATAGAAAAGTGTGGGTGTATTAACCTTCCAGCATGCACGTATGCGCAAAATTTACGACATATTCAGTTTTGCATTGCATTTCCGTCTCACTAACTTAAAAACTTTTACTTAAATTTGAATGCGATATCATTTGTATTTTGCAATAATAAGATTAATATTTTATTTCTTAACAAATTTATTATCAATATTCACTCATTTCTGTCATTTTTCATGCCTAAAATGGTAAAATAACGGATGTCGTAAAAAATATGACGTGCACATGCTCATGTAAAATTGGCAAGTGCGCGTACTGGAAGGTTAAATGAAGCTGAAATAACAAAAGGTCATTATGGTAGAGCTCTTAAAGGTACAGGAAAGCTGTTGGCTGTATCTAGTTCTAGCTATATCACATCTAGTTCTATTTTCACATCATAAATTTGCATAGTATCCCCCTGCTTGTCTGAGAAAAATATCAATATGAGTAAAATAGTCTGAGTAAAATATCATATAAATAAATATATATATATATTTAAAACAAAGAGTATAACAAACTTCTATCACAGGGGTTTTCAATCTTTTTTGCCCCATGCACCCTTTTCACCACTGCTAAATCATCCACCCCCTTCCTTTTCTAAACTGAAAAGTAAATATATACATTTAACAATATTTAGATGATTTTTTTAAGTACGTTTTATAACCTAAACAACTAAAGCTGGGAAATATTGGTAAATACCCAAATGTAAAGTAAATGTATTTTTTAATATTCATAAATTAAAACTTATCCAGAGCTAATTAAAAGGCTGACTGCATAAACCCTCCGCCTGGAAACTATGAAATTCCGTTTCCTCCCTGGTGAAGAACCCTGTTCTATCAGAAGAGCTCAAAATTTCCATACATTTTGTTATTTCTTTAAAATCTGCTTTAAGCAGTACACTGTGTATTATGTAAAGAGGTCCATTTTTCAGGGTACCATTGTATTTATTAACTACAATTTAACAGTTCCTTTTTAAAATTATCTGTCTTGTATCATTAGTATATACTTGCATATTAACTAGCACAGATAAATAATCAGTTCAGTATATTTTAATTATGATTTAGGTGAGTATATAATTTTTATACCGTAAAGCTAAATTCAAATTCTTGAATGTTACCTTTTTAAGATTTTTTGTAACTCCTTATTATGAAAGACATATTTTATTTCAAATAATTTTGTAAGGTATTCTGTTTTTAAAGTTTCTCTTTTTAACATGTACATAATTTTGGTTAATGTGAAAAATATTTGTATTTGATTCTAGGTCAATGCCAGATGGCTTCTGGATTTAGATGAATACAATGAGTGGATGAATGTCGATGATTATGAAGTAGAAATGGATGCTCTGGTTGGGAACTTATTTTTAACTAACTTTCATTTTATAAACTTATGTAATGCAGTGTAATGATTTAAAATTTGTATCAATTATGTGAAATATTTAAAAATTATTATAGTAATTTTTAGTAGATGCTGGCTTTCATTAATTAAGAAACATAAGTTCATAATTAAGTGAAATCTTCATGAAATTTGGTTATATAACCCATAAAAAATGTGATACCTGTATTTCATATTAAAATTATTCTAGATTTGTAAGTTCATCTGTATGGAAAGTTACATGAAAACTGGTATAGTGTAAACTTGGATCACGAATGTCTCCCTTTGTGAACAAATTGGTTCATGTTTAAATTTTCTAAACAAAAAATGTATAATATGACAAAATATATCGGTAAAAGTATATTTAAGGGCACCCTTTGGTGATTTTTGGCGGTACATGGATACCGAGTTTGTTCTATTCTTTGACTTGTTATTTTGGCTTGCATAGCACTGGTTTTTGTGCCAAAAACTTCCTAAAATCTGAACTCGAATCCATATATCGGTGTCGCCACATAAATTCAGAAAAATAAGAGTAAAAAATGTCATTCGTAGTTCCGGACTGTCTGGAAAATGGCTACTAAATAAACCTTCATGTACACACCAGTAATTTAAGGCACTTTTTCCCTCTCGTTCCAAATCATACAGAAACTTCAAATTAATCTTACTACTTTCAGCCATTCTACCGTCTAAACAATGAAACAAGCAATGTACTTCCTAATAATACACACCACAAAAGCCTTTATAAAACATCCCATGATTCAAAATTTCCTGGAATAATGCAAACGATTACGTCATAATAGGATTTCCATAACATTCAAGTACTCAGGTTACCGTAAATGAAACAACAACTTGGCGATAAACGAAACAACTTTGCGATAATACAAGGGGTACCCTAAAGTCAACTCTAACCAATATATCTTGAAATACAAACACTCAAGTAAGTGACATATGATTTTCAAAATGTTTTGAAATAACCTATTTGTATAACTGACATTAAGATTTGCTAAAAGAGACTTCTGGAAACATCTCTCTCCATAGTTTAATTTTCACTAACAAAACCTGGCAGCAAGTGACTACAGGATGATGAGTTCAGCATTGAGAAAATAATGCTGAGATTGAATTGCAGACAAAGAGTTTGAGTTCTATGTCACTTAGCTTTTTTTGTTATCTATATATTGTGTTTCTAGAAATAATGCTGGGCTATGAAATAACAGTGAAGACATGGAGAAGTTATTCGATGACCATAAAAATTGTGCTCAAAAGGAAAGAATTAGACAGTTTCAAAAGCGGGAACAAAGTTGCAGTTTTGGAAGAAATGTGTTCAGAAGAAACAGAAAAAAAGGGGGGAATGAACTTAGTTCTGTAATCTGCTAAACATGGGAGGTAAAATGCAAAACTTTCATGTAACGAATTTAGCTTGATAAAGCTTTATTAACTACAGCGTAAGCATTTTTGTTGAGAATGCTATGTCTCAATCAAATTATAGGCAACAACAGATCACAATGTATAAATTTTAAAAAAAGACAGGCCAAGTGAGTTGCTAGCAGACTCAAGTGGTGCTCATTTAGAAAGACATCCAAACAGTTTATCATATTCAAATAACAACATCTTATAATTTTCCACTTACGCCTTCTACTCTTCATCATATAAGTAAAATGTGTCTATTTTGTATGTTTAATACTACATTTATGTTTTTTGTTTTATCTCTAATAATTTCCATTGATTTTATTTATTGAACTTGTGTACAAAGTACTGCCATAAAGTTTAAATAAAGAATCAACAGTGGTCCGTGATGCATTTTATATTAATTCCTACGGGCCTAAGTTTTCTAGTTTACAAACATTTCGTTTAGCAAATGACCTTCAGGAACAAATTAAATTCATTAACCAAATTTTTACTTTGTTTGAGAATTCCAGGTACTAAATATAAATGCATTTCAAGTCAGATTAGATATATCATTTGCAAGTTCTAATGGATTTTTTTTTTTTTTTTTTTTTTTTTTTTTGTTGTCTTAATGTTAATGGAAATGTTATGTAAGTTGTAGAGTTGTGATCAGTATTCAAGACTCTTATGTGCAATTAAGTTCAAGGGACACTCTTTATCTTCTTTCACTATACAAATCTTGCTTGTTGCAGCTTTCATGTGTATTGTATTAACAGTTGAGTGTAGAAGATTCCAGTGTTCTATGGGTGGTCAGTAATTTGCATATCTCTCCTCTCATATGACAGGAGAAATTGAATTGAGAACATTATCATGTGAAATAAAATAGAGATCTTTTGGCTGCAGAACATTATCATATGGTAATCAGTATAAAGAAAATTGGTCAGCTGCTGTGATCAGAGTAACATATTTCAAATAGACTATTCTGGTGGAAGCTATATGTATGTTTGATTAAGAAGGCAAATTTTTTATCAGAGTGCAAAAATGTTAAACAAGGATGTGGTAGTAATACAGTCATTGCTACTAAAATCTGTTTTTGAAAGACAAGTTGTCATAATATAATTAAATTGCTTTTAAAGTTGCATTTGAAAATGTTTAAAAAGACCATGTTTTTTTCTTCTTTTAATTTAATACTTTTTCTCTTATTTCATTACTGAAGACTTAAAGATTTAATTAATTTGCTGAACATATTAACAATTAATATTTCAGTTTGTAAAATTTAGGATTTTGAAGATTGCGACTTATGATTTTATTAATATAAATTTATTTGAAAATTTTAAGGATAATGAAATCCCATTCCTAAATTTAAATGATGCAATCAGAATATGAATTAAAAAAAAACAGGTCTTTTAAATTATAATTTATGTTTAGATTCATAGAGCAAATTAAAGTTATACATTTTCTCCCCATTTTAGTATGAATTATATTTTAAATAATTTCTAATTTTCTTTGTTACTTTATATAAATAATGAATGATTTATGTTGTGCTTTTAGGGAAGAAGAAGATCGCCTCGAGGAAAGTACACAATAGAAGAGGTGAATATATAATAAATGTTATATATTACACATATATTTCTACATATGCAAGGGTGACTGCAGTCCGGATATAGTCGGAAATCTGGAATTTTTTTTTTTTTTTTGGTTTGCTTTCTCAGAGTAGACTGTAATTAGTAAATGTATAAAATGAAAATTATTTTTCAAATTTTATTTTAGAACAGTATATCATATTTGTAGATTACTTAAATTTAAAACTTTTAGACTATAAAGGTAGAGTTCATTGAGAGGTAAAATTTCTTAACTAAGTTTGTCTTACACAAAAAAGTTATTTTTGCTGTTTACCTTATACAGAAAAAGAAGAACCTGATATTGTTGAGTTTTGGGCTGAAGTATTGAAACTAAAAGAAAAATACTTAATAGTGACAAAACTGTTTTAACTTGCTTTCTTGTGGATGTGCTGTTTGTTAATATTAAGTTCATTAATATTAAAATCGATCCTTGATCACTTGCCTGATTATTCAGAGTTAGCTCGGGTTTGTATATATTGCAGTTAATTATTATCCCGGAAAACAACTGGGCGAAGCAGAATTAGTTCGTACGATTTGTTTTGTCACAGTTTTACTCGGCCTTTAGGAAATGAAAGGAAATATTCAGCTTTGATTGGCAGTTTGCAAAGTTATGTTGGTTGCATGGTTCTTTTGGTGGAACTGGTTACGTGTTTCCCTATTGTATAGTATATGTCGGCTTGTGGATTAGTAATGTATAAAGAAGGATACTTGCGTTGAAAAAAAGTAAAATGGCAATGATGCAAGAAAGTAAAAGTGAGGTATTTCGGATAGAAGAGATGGGGAGAGGAAAACGTCAAATCCAATGACACAGTGTTCTCTGTACTCCCATAGAAGAGATTCCAGCGGAAAGTCAGTGAAAAAAGAGACCAGATACCAGATTGTCAGGTATCACTTTGTGTTGTTTTTTTTAAAAAAAAAACTATCATACAAAGACTAATATTTAACTTGTTTTCGTTTGCCCGAGATAACTCGGGTTAGTAAACTAATATTAAAACTAAATGCATTTACACCTTCGAAAAATTAAAAATTAAATTAAAACCTACATATTTTGATTTTTTTCATTTCGTTGTATTTAATAATAAAATAAAGAAATGTGATGATTTTTTGCAATTTTTTTTTCAAAAATTTTTTAAGGGAAGTGGTTAAAGTTGTTAAAAACTAATAAATACAATAAGAAAATATGGGGGAAAATCACTAAAAATTGTAGGAAATGAATGACATTTTAGTTGTTAAACTTTTCTTCCAGAAGTTTAAAAATAAAATTTAAAAAAAAAAATTACTGGCAAAAATTTTTTCCTCAGCTTAAAATTATTTTGTCTTACAAAACCATTTAATAACATTCGTAAAAGTAGATGAAAGTTCTTAAATAAAAAAAGTCATTCAAAAGGTACAGAGACCCCTTGTCGAGTTGAAACCGATATGCGCATCTTTAGTTTTAATTTGAACGGTTTTTCTGGAATGCCCAGCATCAGATAACCTTGTCTGTACTTGTTTACAAATTTCCATATTTCGTTCGGTTCTGTATCATTTTTTTGGGATGATATCGCATCCTCAGATATCTACCAACGCGATTGTTTTGCTGACAGTCCAGCGAGCAGTCATTTGCCAGTCAGCCATGTTGTTTGTTAAAATTAAGTGAATCGCACAGTGCAGTATTGGAAATATCCCTATTTGCCCTGCTCCCGAGAGGTAGGAACATTCTACCTCCAATTCGGAGAAGCAGTTAATGCTTGTCGCCGTGTGAATGGGGCACGTTGGAAGAACCAGTTTTCACTACCGGTCGAATCTGCTCTTGTGAACGAGACTATAATGTAACATTAAAGTATGATTTTGATAAATAAAAGGATTATTGAAAGAAACAGGAAATATCACATGGATTCAGATTAGTATGTATCAAATACATTTTCAGAGGTAACATTAATTTGATAAATTTGATTTTACAGTAGGTGTTAATTAATGTGATCACATTCATCCATGACTGTTTTGTAGCATTAACTGGACAGTAACTTTAAATGGTAAGAAAAAAGTGCCCTTCAAAGTAGCAATGGAATTTATAACCAATTTAATATATAAGTATAACCAGAGACATACAAATAGGTACTTTCATAACATTTTAATTATGAAAAAAACAAAAATTGTTTATGAGCTCACAATGTATTGCAAATGTTCATACCATTTCTGGAAATTATTTGATTGATGCTGAGCCCCTAATCTTAATACTTGGAGGGCATACCTCAGTTAAAGAGAATGTAAAATCGTAAAATTAAAAATCAGGCCAAAAAAAAAAAAGAAGAAAAGAAAAGAAAAAAGAAACCACTTTGGTAGATGTTTTCATGAATTGTTTTTCAGGAGCAAGAAAAAAAGGAGAAATATTTTGAAGAAATTTTCTTTTGCTCCTGAAGAAAGAGACCCGTATCTGACTACCAGTTTACATCCAACTAAAGTTGCTTTTTGGGGGGGGGACTTAATTTTAAATACTTAATTAAAATTGAAATTAAGCTGTTTTGTGACTTAATCATATATTTTGCAACATTTGTCTGTCAGTTGTTAATTTTAATAATCTGGGACCTTATTTGGTGACCACTTCAGTTTAAAAAAAAAAAAAAAAAGTCATGTTTTGATTATTTATTTGCAATACACGATGTATTTTTCTTGTTTTCATATACAGATGGGTGTGACAATTCAATAAGAATATCTGAATGATAATGCTAACTGCGATCACATTAAAGGGTATCTACTTACTGTATGTGGAAATTTTATTATAAGTTTAAATTCTGATTATTTTTACTGTAGTAAAATTATAAATTCATGGAATTAGATATAATTTAAGGTTATTAAAAAGCTTCTAAAACATGCTTTTGGTCCCCTCCCTTAAATTGCGTTAGAGCAAAACCATTTTAAAATATCCACATAGAAACAGCAGTAAAGAAATGAAATATATGTACTTTTTTGAAAAGGTGGTACAGAATTCATGTATGATAGGTAATACAGTTTTTAGTTTGTTTAGTATTAATATTTTTAGAATATTTGATGTTTAATGGCTTATTTTATTTTGTTATATATTGCTTTAGATACTTCAGTTTTTTATGGGCTGGTGTTGTGTTTTGATAGTTTTTGTATGAAAGTTTGCCAGATTTTAGTATTTTTTATGTAATAAAAAGGTTTATTCATTTAAAAAATTGGAAAATTCTTGTTTATTATTATCATTCTTATGCATTATTATAATTTTTTAAATATAGCTTCTTGCTGGAGTTGATGTAGATAAGAAGGATAAGAAAGCTGGGAAAAAAAGAAAGCGTTCTCCATCTCCAGTTTCTGAGAAGCGCAAAAGGAAAGGGTATGTTTTATATTATTCTGAATGTCTGTTCTGAAATTTCAATGACATCTGTGCATTTGATGTTTCATTAAGTGACTATGCAGAAATGCATTGAGAATATATTTGTATGTAAAAAAAAAAAAAAAAAAGTGTATGTATTTGTGTAAAATGACTCTGGTTTCAGCGAGATCAAATCGGATATTTATATAAGTTTCTGATCTACGATTAGCCTCAAAATTAAAGAAATGTATGCAGAAAATATGTTAATTCCTGTGTCAGTTGGAAGAGGAGAGTAATAACACTGAGTGGTTTCTTTTATTGTTACTAATTGCATTTCTTTATGGAATTGATGGTATGTAAGATGAAAATGCCAGTTAAAGATTGGTGCCAGTTCTTAAGTGAATTAAAAATTAATTCATTCAATTATGTTATTTTGGAGAGGAGCAGCAAATTAAATTTTGTTTTGGGAGTTGATTTTATTTAAATAAAATCTATGCTCACCAACTTTGTTTTATGGATTGGCTTCTTATTAATATTTTGACTTGGCTGCAAAAATCCTATTTTATAAGAAGAAAAACGGTGAATGACATATTTGCAATATTTGCAAGAGGAATTTCAATGAAACTATTATCAGTAACAGGAAGAATTATGGCCATGGCATTAGTCTGTAAGTGTACTCCCATAAGACTTAAAAACTTGAATTAAACACTTTTAACTATCATATGTTTGTGTTCAGCATACAAAATTAAATAAAAATGTCTTTTATTGTTCCAGATGCTGTTTGATAGCTGTTTAATAAATTTTGTTTTTACTTCAAACATGATTTGATTTTTTCAGAAATAAATAAAATTGAAAATCAGCCAAGATTTTAGTAGTAGACCATATTTTAGTATTTAGACATGGTCATCTGTAGTAAATTGTTCGGAACTTTGTTGCAGTTAGGTTATTATTCTATAGTTCACAATTAACTACTCAAACCTTTCAATTCTAAGACTTTCAGCATTCTGCTTGCTTTTTGTAGGCACTGAAAAATGTCTATATGTGCCTTAACTTTCAGGCTTTTAGCAGATATTTGTAATATATTTTAACAAATGTTACACATATAATTATTATGATAATTAGTATATTCCCAGATTTTTGGATATTACATAGATATTTCCAAAAATTCTGGGTTTGTACTGTTTTTAAAAGTACTTAGGTTTTTTTTTTTGAAAACTATTATTGGTTGTGAAAAAGTTATTGACAAGGATTACTCATCTAACATTTCTGTCTGTTTTTTCAAACCCAGCAAATCTACGTGAAATTACGACACTAAGTTGGTCAAAATGCAGCTAACTTTTATCACTTTCCAATCATACAAATGTCAGGTGTTCATGTCTGTGCTTATCAGAGACTCTGGCTATCATGCTATTTAGCCTGGGTTTGAATCATGGAAAACACATTGGATATTTGTAAGTGTATAGTGTCTTTGCAGCATTGATACACTACCTATCGAGAGGCTGGTGGAAAGGGAAGAGAAATGACAAACCCCCCACATAATTAATTCTCCTAAAAAATTGGGAGAAACCTGAGAAAATTAGTATGTTTACCTCGGATGTGCTCAATGCTAAGCCAATGACAGAACAATCTTTTCCTCTTAGCTACAATAAAATTTATGGAGCTGATCAAATGTTACTATTAGACAAGTGAGATAGGTTACAGCACAAAAAATCTTGCACTCATATTAGGTTTGATTTGGTGCATTGTTTTCTCCCATGCTAATTACATGTTTCTTATTAATATGCAGAGTTTAAATGGGTCTTAAATCCATGTCTATTCCATGGAAGCTAATGTAATGTTTTAGTTTAAAGGGTAGTAATTTTTGTAAATTCCTTTCAATGAGTGCAATGAAAATTTAATTCCTTATTTACTTTTTAGAAGCAGTAGGAATCCTACCATAATAACAAAAAAGAAATCACTTCGTGGTGATGATGAATCTGATGATTTAACAAAAGATATGGAAGAACCTTCTCCTGAACCAAATGTCCAAGAAGTTCACATTCCAAAAAATAGTATGTATTATAATTTTTTATTTAACTTATTTTTTGTAATTAGCTGAACAGTTTATTAGAAATATCTGCATACTTTGCACATGAAGTTGCTTTTCTTCTGTAAAGTAGACCTTTGAAAAGCAATGATTAAAAATTCAAACCCATAAATAAGAATTGGATTCATACTAAGCATCATTTAGTATTGTATAGAAAATGTTGATGAATGTGAAATATTAAAATTCTGTCATTAACATCTCGTTAAGTGTTATCCAGAAGATTATCTTCTCATTTTATATACTATATTAGTAACAATTCTCATTAAGAAGGCCTAGAAATGTTTCAATATTTTCTTTTAAAATTTATTCTGATCTATTTTATCTTGCTAATATATATTTTAAAAGCCTCGAAGAAAATTCCGGTGACAATAAAGAATTTCTTTACTTCTTTTTTACACAAGCAAAATGTAATTAAAATTAAACTTTTATTATAGAGTCCTTTTAATGTTTTAAGTTTAATAAACATAAATTTCAACATTGTGCATATAAAGTACTAATTGAGTTGTGAAATATGTATTTAGTAGTTTTATTATCAGTCATTAATTTATCAGTGGAATTACCAAAGCAGTATTCTGATTTTTTTGGGATGAAGGTAAATGATGATTAATTGATTTTTTGCATGTATAAAGATTGATATTTTTTGCCCTATAGCCCTATTAATTGATTTTTTGCATGTATAAAGATTGATACTTTTTGCCTTATAGCCAATAATCCAAGGAGTAGTAAAGATAATGAATCTCAGCCTTTAAAAGGTGGCACATTATTGGAATTAGATGGAAATGAAACTGACGATAAGGTAATTTTTAATAATTTCTTGTTTCTCAAAAGTTACATTTACCTGTTGTGTGTTTGATCAATAATCTTTCTAGTTTTTCTAAATTTTGACTCTTGCACCTTGGAATTACAATGTCTGATGGTCCTTAATGTGATTCAGCTAATAATTTCTTAAAAATAAAATTTTTGATGATGTATTATTAGAAAATTTGGTACTTCCTTATTATAGCGGTCCCCAAGACAATCGCTAATGAAGCAAGATATCTCACTGAAATCGCCACATGTTCCTCGTGTTACATCGTGGTCAATTAGCGATTAAATTTTGAATGCTGCTGTAATAAGGAAGTACCAAAAATTCTTGGCTGCTTGTTTTATTTATTCTAGTGCATTGAAATACATGCTAAATATTTACTAGGTTTTTAACGATATCAGGTTTATTTTATGTATCAAGGTGCTGTTATTTAACTGCTTATATCAGATTCATCTATTATTTTCTGCAGTGCAAATTCTTTTATTGTTTTCTGCAGTTCTTTTACCCTCATCTCAGATTTTCTTTAAGCAGTGCAGAATTAGCTACATGAGAAAGAACATGCAGGTTAAATTACAAATCTTCACTTATTGAAACACTACCTTATTTTTTTTTAAATCTTACAGTATTTATGGAAATGGTCAGATAGCTAAAATGTAAGCTATTCTAGTTAAATAAAATTGTATATGGAAATTATCAGGTTGTTAAAATAGTTATACTGGTCTTTAACCATTTAACTTGCACAATATTATTTAAATTTTTTTTATTAACTAAAAACTCTAGAAATTGAATATTATGATCCTAGAGGCAAATAATATATGAATTAAAAAAATCTACTCTTGCCCATTGTTCTGTGAGTGGTGGTTGCAGTGTGAAACCAGCACGCGTGTAGGACTTTGAAACTTACTGAGGTAGTAAGGGGGGAACTTATCTTTTCCATGCGTGTTTCCAATAAATGATGAAATTTATGAATTTAAAAAAAAAATGTATGTAAGAATTGCATTATATATATATATTTTTTACTTTATTTTACAAAGTAAATCGTCAGAAAAAATTAAAAGAATAAACATTTATGTAATTTTTTTATAGGAGTGAAAATATAAGTACCTACATAATAAGGACATTTGGATGAATGGATTAAAAAAAACTGAGTAAAATGAGGATAAAAAAAATTCAGTGTTATTTTTTTAAATTTCAATTTTTTTTTTTTTTTTTTTTTTTTGTGACACTGTTCAAAGCATGTTTTGTCTTTTTAGTACATGCGTAGACCCACATTGCACGTTTCGCACATGTATCTTGTTCTATGAAGTTTCTTCCTTGTCCTACAAAATGTACACTGCCTGGATCTAAATTTCACTGGTATATGTCCAGCATTTTCTTGTTTCTTTTCATCTGGCACAGGAAATTGGTGGTATTTTTATGGTAATGGGAGGGGGGCTTGGTCTTTTTGTCTTTTCTACGGATTGTTCATTTCCCATTCATACATATTTTATTCGTATTTCATCCCAAAATATTCAGAAAATATTTTAAATTTTAATAAAACTTTATGCAATTTCTATTTTTGATTATAGCAAAGTATATTTACATTAAATTTAAACCACAGGAAATAATTTATAAAATCACAACACTAGCTTGAGAAGCAAGTGTGTTGAGGCCAGAGAAAAATCTCTGGAAAAGAAAGATTTTTTTACTGGGCAGGTGCATGCATTGTTTAGTAATAAAATAACTTTGTGGTTTCAAAACCCCTTATCCTTATCCGGGTAAAATTAAACATTCCTGTTTGAGAAGCAAGCAAACGCCATTGTGAAGAGCAGTGGTTTCAAGGCGCGACCACCGAGCCTCTAGAGCATTGGGGCAGCGGTCGTGCCCTGAAACCATAAAGCAAATGCCATACACATACAGAAGGGTTTTTTTTTATATATATAGACAGTTTAATTATTGCTATTTTTTATTGTTTATGATAGGAATCATGATGTGCAATGAATAACTTTTGAAATTTAAAGTTGTTTATATTAATAAAAGGAAGTTATTTTGTTTCATTGAAAACAAATTTTAAAAGGCATCCAATTTGAAGTACTAAGACCTAAAACATGTATGACTCTGCAGTCATTTTGTGTTATTTAGAATAAAAAATCAGTAATCAATTGATTTTCACTCAAAAATTTTGGAAAGAAGAGGAGGAAAAGAATTCGAAAATTGGTGGTTTCAGGGTGCGACCACCTCGTGCCAAAGGGTTAAGCATCGTGCTAGTAGTCATCAGGTACTATTTACATTAGACATAACAAATTTAACCTCAATATTTATTCAGCAAAATGAAAAATTGACTGCTCATTGAATATGTGGTCAAACAGTCGAGAATATCATGCACACAAAATGGGTAAACAACAAGCTTTTGAGATATTATGTTTACTAAATGGTGGTTTGCTGTATATTATGTATTTCTAATACTAGAAGTGAACTTCCATGTGATAAGAATGTGTTGACTCTTGATAAGTGTAGTAAATTAAATGGGTTTGTGTGAAATCATCTTGTGCTTCACTGTCTTTAAATATCTTGAGAAATAAGTCTTTTATTTGATACACTGTAATTATATTTGATTTTGTGTCATAATCATATTTACCACATCACTCACCAATGCTAAGAGGCAGAGCCGTCGAGGTACCTTCTACCATTAATGCGTTTTGGTTATTCCTAGTTAGGTGTTTAGAGATGAGTGAAAAATTAAGTACTTTCTGATTATTCACACTTCTGCAATATGTCATAAACACAGTTGCGGAAAATATTTGTCTGATTATCTTTACAATTCATGAATAGCATTCTGCTCATAAATAATAATGAAAAGAAACTTTTTTGCGCATGTCTGGGGTGGTTATTGTTTCATTGATACTCAAAAACATGCCGAAAGCAGAGTTCACCGAATGATAAATGCAGGGGTACTTATAATCAGAAAGTACCAAAACTGTATAGTTCAGCAACTTGTGAATGTATAAAGTTCTGTGTCCATATCTGCAATAAAACCTGTAACCTATTTATAGTGATAGTACTTTGTTCAGTGGAATGAGTTAAAATGGCTTTGACCCGCCAGTCGCTGAGAGGTAAAATTGCTGGACACTGGTAGTTCGGCCTGAGTTTGATTCAAGGTGAACAGGCTGACTGCATGGGTGTTTTCATGCTTTTACACTTGTGTAGCGTACATGCGAGCCACTGTGTCTTAGAAAGTCCTCCATGAAGGCATCTCTCTCTTTAGGCAAATAGCTCCAATTTGCTTTGCCATAATCAACTAATCGATCAATAAATCAATTAAATAGCATTGTTGCTTTCAGTAGTTCCAGAAAATGTATTGAAAACAATAAATGTAACAACTAAGATACAAAATGATGAGAAAATTTCATTAGTTGCTGCAGTTTTATGAAACAGCAGACAATAAACAGTTCAGAAAACACCGAGCTTTGCAAGGATATCCTAAACAACATACATTATATCTTTCTGGGCTGTAGGTGAACTCTTTTTGATTGCATGGGATTGTTGAACTCTGATATTTAATCTTGGTTTAACTCTAATGTTGGCTGCATGGGGTTCATGGTTTTTCGTATGTGCAACTTGAGTTAGTTCATCCTTCACAGAGCCATTCTTTCAATAGTAAATAATGCTTATCTCTTTTGGCATAATCAACAAACTAATAATGTGTAAACAAATTCCATGCATGTTATGGAAAGGCCATTTAGCCTTACAGATGACTAAGCAGGCAGCTTATAGCCACTGGCTAATTGGAGAAAGGCTTGTATTTGGTTAGCAAATCTTTAGGATTTTCATGTTACTGTGTGAAAACAGCTATCAACTGGGTAAGTTGACAAATTTTTCACATAAGTAGAAATTCTCAAAAGTCACAGGTAAAGCAATGTCAAGCTAAAGATATGTTTCTGCTATCAAGAATAGTTCTTGCTTTAAATATCAATTTTGGATTAATATAGATCTTATTTCATTACAGTGATTCTGTACACTGCCTGTTTTTAGTTTCTAACCTTCTAAAAGAAACTATCAATCATGTTCTTTCACATACCTGGTATTCTACCTTCTATTTGCTTGATCTCAAAACGTATACTTTCTTAACTCTTAACCAATTGGCATGTCAACTTAATCATTGATTTACTCACATGGAAAAGATAAAAACACAAACTGAACTAAAAGGCATCTTGGAGAATAGGAGTTTCTAGATGGGCTTTAGTGACATCTCTAGAAGTAGTATGTTGTTACCAAAGGAACTATATATCTTTTATCACTATATCTCTAAGAACATAAGATTTCCTTTAAATCATATTTTTAAGTGCTTGCATTATAAAATCAACTGAAATTCTATAAAACATTAATTCTTATAAAATCATAATCATTACATTTTACGATTGCTAGAAATGTCGCATGTAGCTATCTTTCTTGTATTACTAAATAGTGCAAAGAACTGTGGTTTTGTAAGGTGCCAGTTTTCATGTTGGCTTCAAAATAATTGACCTTTTTTTTTTTTTAGTTGTAAAAAGTTGAAAAATTAAAACTGTATTAATGTTTGTATGTCTATAAACCAGCTTTACAGTACAATATCAGAAAATCAAGTAAAATTTGAGATTAGTATTAATTTTATTGCAGATTCATATGCAATGGTTTTGTTTGGATTGCTGAATTTGGGTACCTTAGTATTTTTAAGTCTGCAGTATTTTTTTAATATCTCAAAAATTTTATTCAGAGTATTTTTTAAAAATATATTAGTGTGAAGATAAAAAAATGTTTGTTCATACTTACCAGCAAGTTAAAGATAATCCCACTCATAAAAACAAATTTGTTTTCTTTAAAACTTTGCAAGAAATTTAAACCAGAATTCACTTTTAATAAGTCAATTCTGTGAATTTCATTTTAAGCATAATAGAGGTGGCAGAAATTTTGTCTGTAAGAAATGTTATTATTGACGTTACTCTGGCCGTTTGAAAATGTGTAATTGAACGCATATTGAAGTATATACATTTTATTGGAAAGTATGTAATTTTTCAAATTTTTATTCATTTCTATTCAATATTTATAGGGAGATAAAGATGAAAAGAGTAAAACGTCTCGCCCTGGTTCTCCAAATAGTCAGAGCCGTGATAAACCTCCTGAAGACAATCAAGATGACAATGTGACTGAGCAAGCCAATCATATTATCATCCCCAGTTATGCAGCTTGGTTTGATTACAACAGGTATATATTTTATTTCTTTAGAAACAATGTTAATAATTCATTTTTTTCAATATGGAATTCACAGTTTTTCAGAGATTTTTAATTATTCATTCATATATATTTTATTTTTAGTGTTCATGCTATTGAAAGAAGAGGGCTTCCTGAGTTTTTTAACTTGAAGAACAAATCTAAAACTCCAGAAGTGTAAGTATTTGCTCTAGGATATTTTTATTTATTTAATATTTTATTAACTATATAATTTTGCAATTAAATGTTTATTATATGTATATATCTTAAAATTTTCAGGTATATTGCATACCGAAATTTTATGATTGATACCTACCGGTTAAATCCTACAGAATATCTCACAGTTACAGCATGTCGACGGAATTTAGCTGGAGATGTATGTGCAATTATGAGGTATAAGACAATTTTTGATATTTTCTATTCCAAAAAATTCTAATTGACTTTGTAAATACAGTATTTGCATTACTGAACATTGTTATATTGAAAATTTCATCAACTTCCTCAATTTTTCCATATAGTAATTGATTATTTCCTTTTAATATAGTATATATAGAGCAGAAATTTTATTTTAGGGGGGAGCTAAATTCTCAGCTTTTTGCTGTGCAAATTCTGAAATTTCATGAATGTATCATAATTTAACTATTTCATCTGACTTAAAATAACATAAAGCAGTGGTCTATGTCTAAGTAGTTGCCCACGAAGATATTTCCATTATGCATTGGTTGCAAATATGCTTTTGTACAGATTTCAATGTTTTAGTTATCTGAAGTTTGAGTTCATATTATTTTCAATTCTAGTAAAAATAAACATGAATAACATGTCAGAAAATCTATTAATCGAATTAATTAATTTACTGTGTGATATAAACTTATAGTCAGTCATGAACTTTTACCCTAAGAATGATCATTATGTTTGGGAATATATTATGTGAACAGCTTTCTTTCACAGTTGAAAACTGATTAGGAAAAACCTGATTGCTTGATAAACATCTATAATTCCATAATCACTACTAGATTTCCAATTTCTCGAAGGCTACAAACTTTATCAAGATGTAAAGAAGTTTGTAATTATTTGCATACAAATATATATATTTTTATATATGCACTGAAGAAAAATTTAATAATTAAGAGAAAGAAACTACGTTGTCATTATTTATCCTCACATTTTGTCCCACTAAATAAAAATAATTATTATCTGAAAATTTAGAAAGCTTCTATAATTTATTTATTTTTAGTTTAAATTTATGTAAATTATTTAATGATTAACTAAATATTTTATAATTATTTGAAAGAAATGTAAATCTAAGAATTTGATATTTAGTTATCAATATACCTGAATTGCAAAGTGTAACGAACAAAAATCTCTTGCAGGCACCAAACTTTAGATTTCAGATAGAAAATACATATAAATTAGTTTTTTTCTCTTTATGATATTATTATTGTTTAAGGCTTTTGATAAATGTTAAGTAAGTGAAATTAATTAGAAATTTATTTGAAATATTTTTCAATTTGTTAAATAAAATTGTTTCATATATATATTTGTTTCACCAGAAAAAAGTAAATTAAATTTAAATAATTCTCTTGTGCCATTGCTGCAAGGAATGAAATTTGAATTTAACAAATATTCTCTATTCATATAATGCAAATATCAAATTTAATTAAGAAATTTTAATTGCAAAGAAATAAAAATAATTATTATTGCTGTGAACTAATTTACAATATCATTTAAATTTCAAGAGCATATATAAATTAATTGCACTTATGTAAAACCATGAAAAAATATATTATTCCAAAAAGTTAAATTTATTATTCCTAAAAATTGCATAATTGAATAATTGTTGAACAGGCAGGAGACAGACTTTAAAATTTCTTAATTAAATTTTAATTTTATATTTGCTTTATATGAATACAGAATATTTGTTAAATTCATATATATATGTATTTTTCTAGTAGATACTGTAGATATTGTATTTTTAGATGCAGCTCGAATATAGTCTGAGACCTCTGTGCTAAGGTAACAAGAATCAGCATAATATACTGAAGATTTATGAAAATTACATTGTTTCTTGTTGCCTTAGCACCTCCATTAGTAACTGCTTCATAATAAGCCAATATATGAAAATTTGTTGTCTAGGTTAGAAGTAACAGCTTTGTGATAGAAAATTGACACTATCGTCTCCCCCTCTCCCCCCAAATTTAAGCAATAATATAAGTAACTTGTATATAACTAAACAAACCTGTTGACTGTCGATGATGGTCAATGTAGTTATTTATGTTTTCAGTGCTGATCATATTCATAAGTGTTTGTTTTTTAAGGAAGTATTCACTGTGAGAAGTTCCAATTATGTTAGATTAAAAATATGCAAAAGTGAAAGCCAAAATGATTAGAATTAATTGATTGCATTCAGGAGGAAAAATAGTTTTTGAAAATATAAATTTTCTTCTCAAAACAAATAACTTTATAAATTTTATATGTGTGAAAATAAAAAAGAATATGTAGAATGTTATTTTCAGGAATATGTATTATCAGTTCAGTATTATTCTGTAACTATGATTTATTTATTTATTTTTTTTTTCTAAGTGCAGAAATTGGTTTAATTTTGAGTTGTTTACTACCATTTGTGTCTCTTATTGTTGAATATAAGTAGAATGAAAATCACGAGAAATTTATTGCCAGTATAATTAGAACTTGAAAATTATTGAATTTTTTTTAAAAGAAAATTAATAAGGAATATGCAATTTGATGCTCATTTTATTTCTTAATGTTTTATTTAGGGTTCATGCATTTCTAGAACAGTGGGGTCTCATAAATTACCAAGTGGATGCTGACAGCAGACCAACGCCTATGGGACCTCCATCAACATCTCATTTCCATGTCTTGGCAGATACACCATCAGGCCTACAGCCACTGAATCCACCTCGAACTCAACAGGTACTTAACTATCTGTTTGTAGTTACTGATCTTGTATGCAGAATAGTGCTTCTGTATCTGTAAATAATACGTTGCCAAACATAGTGTTGATAATAGCAAATAGCGGCTCGTATTTTCATACAGGGCTGTAGAGTTGGAATCGGAGTTAGGAAGATTTTTGGGTAAAAGAAAGCTGGAGTCACTAAAAACACGTCGACTCCGACTCCAGTTTTTGTTGAACAGTTTGAATCTGAAATGATATCAAAGTGAATTGAAAAAAAAAAAAAAAAAAAAAAAAAAAAACTAATGACAGAGTTATTATTTTTATTTATGGACTATATACATTAATAAATAATTATTTTCTACTTTAGTGACATATTAATAATATAAGGGAGGAGGATGGATGTGATATTTGCCATTATTGATTAAACTGATTCATTTTGTTACAAATCTGATTGATAAATTTAGGTAAGCTATAATAGCAGCAAGAACTCCCAAAATTGATACCATTTTTAGGAAGCGATCAGAAAAAGAAGCAATTATTGATCAAGCAATGCAATGGGGAAGTACACATTTGTTGATATAGAGGTTGTTAAAATTAAGAACGTTTTTAGAAGATGTAGATAACCCTAATGTTTCACTAACAGAAAGACTGTGGAATGATCTTGCAGAATAGGAAACTCTTCTTTCTACACTGTGTATAACCTCAAAAAAGCTACAATCTGAAGAATAAACAGGAGGCGAGAATGGAAGAATGTGATCTTTGTTCTTTCTGAAATGAAGGGTTTATCGCAGAAGGAATCATTTCTTCAATGACGAAAAGAGAAACTAATTTTCTAGACAATGAGATCTTCAAATCAGGACAATCAAACTGCAGACATTGCAACTGCATCTCTATTATCCTCTTCCAGTGATAAATTAGATTTTGAGAAATATTGGATAATATTAAAAAAGACTATCGACTCTGCAATCCTACTTTCATATCATATGTCATAATATAAAATAAAATTATTGTAACTAAACTTTATTAAAAAATTAAGCAGATAAAACTTTTGTTCTGGACAGAAAATATTTTTGTTTAAATTTTTTTTGACAACATTGCATTTTTATTGTAATTAATATATTTTTCATTTATTGGAAACATGGCATTCATTAAAGATTTTGAATATTTTTTCAGCCATCAGCTGCGCAGCAAATGCTTAATTTAGATAAAGGTAAAGAAAATGCAGAAACTAAAACTGAAGAGGGAACTGCAAAACCAGCAGTAAATGACAACTTTGGTCTTCGCTTAGACCAGTATGCAAAGAAAAATGCCTACATGAAAGTGAGTTAAATTTCTAGTAAAATATAGTTTAATTTATTTCGGAGATGAAGATGATCAATTCTTCCTTGAAAAATATAAATAATAAAATATTTGATACAAATTAGAAAATTTCAAATAATTTTTACAGAATAAAGCAGCTGCCACTGTATCAAGGGAGTGGACGGAGCAAGAAACCCTCCTGTTATTAGAAGCATTAGAAATGTATAAAGATGACTGGAACAAAGTATGTGAACATGTTGGTAGCCGAACTCAAGATGAATGCATTTTACATTTCTTGAGGTTACCTATTGAGGATCCGTACCTTGATGATCCAGGTGCTGGAGGAGGAGCTCTTGGTAAGGATAATTTATCTGGGGAAATGTAAATTATTTTTAATAGTTATGTGTAAGCATGTTAACTCTATTTCTTTTTAAATAGCATTTTTTTATGGTTATTTTAGAGATTGGCTGGCTCATCGTTTTGATGTTGCTGGTACATAATTAAATAGTCTCAAGAACAATTTATTTTTGTATTCATTTGTATAAATAAAATAGTATTTATGTCTTTTACATTTATTTTTCATAATTATCAGAATTTCTTCATGTATAATGCAAAATAATATCATTGTTAGTTTTGCTGTATATATCCATGTGAAAATGTTTTCATTATGCGTACACTGTGGTATGTCGGTATTGAAATACATTCTGTTTCGATGTGAAAATTGTTTTTGGAATATGTTTGTTTTTGTTTATAAAAATGCTATTAAATTATATTACAAAGGGTGAAATTGATAGAAGATATTGAGAAATTGCTTTTGATCTGAATAACGGAAAAACCTTTTTGTATAATATTTAATTCACATACAGTATATATTTCACCCACTATGTTTTTAATTTAGCATTAAACTGTGTTAGTAATAACAATAAGATAGATTTTTTTTTATAAGAATGGATTATCTTTTCTTTATTTCTTATGGGAAAAGTTTTTGTTGATGCAAGTCCAAGGATCTGGAATAGATAAATTGCATATAGAAAGGTTCTGCCATTATGTTTGCACTATATGATCAAAAGTGTCTGGACACTCCTTGTAATAGCAGATTCTGCCAATGGCAGAAGCTTCTAACTCCCAACCAAATATAAAAAATAGGCCAGACAAGTTCAGAATTGTTAATTCTAAGCTAGAAAAATACAATGGGAGAAAAATGCAAGCTAAATGATTTTGAATGTCAGGATGTGTATCGTTGTTAATGCTGTTTAAAAAACATTCTGTGATGTTTGGAGTGCCCTGTTCTGCTCTGTACATTAGTGATCTCAAACTGGTGCTCTGAAAGTAATTTTATGCAGCCTGTGAATATATTTCCTGTAAATTAGGTAGTGTTATTAAAGACAAGAATCTGAAGAAAAAGTTTAAAACTTTATTGGTATGAAGTTCAGTTTTACATTATTTTCATTACCAAAAATTAACATGAGGAATTCACTGGAAAATCTAGAAGCAGAACTAATTAATTTACACTATGCTATAAATCTTATTCAGAGATTTTGAAGATGCAGATTTGATTAACTTTTAATGGTATTTGCTGATAGGTAAATGTTCTCGCAAAAGAATACTCGCTTTACTTGGAAGGGCATTTACATGTGAACAGTTTTTTCATAGTTGAAAATTAATAAGTCTACAAAAAGAACCAAACTGCCATTGAGTGTTTACAGTTTGTGAAGAATAATACTTTCTAGTAATATTCCTCCAAGATTACAAACTTCATGGAAATTGAAATGGCGTGATTTGTTGCTACTGAAAGGTGTAGTAAGAAACGAAGAAGTGTATAATTATTTACATACAAATATTAATATTTTTGTATGCATCATAAAATATCTAATAAAAGAAAAAGAATAGGTTTCATTATTTATTCTCAAGTTTTGTCCATCTAGGGAAGCTTTCGTATATTTCTCATATATAGTTAAAACTAAGTTACTTAGTGGTTAATTTAATATGTTACAACTATTTGCATAAAATATCAATCAGAAAATTTTAGGATTTAGCTGTCAAAGCATTTTAACTACAAATTGTGACCTACGGAAATTTCTTACAGATACAAACTTTTAGATTTCAGGCAGAAAATAAGTATAAATGTTTTCTTTGTGATATTTTTATATGTATGTATTGACAAATATGTAGTAAAAATGTTTTTAATTTAGTTAAATTTTTGGGGGATAGGGCTAAAAAAAGTCCTTTGTTTCTTTTCTTTGTTTCTTTTTTTTTTTTTTAAATTTCAGCCCATCAGCTATTTTCATATCATGGATTTGGCTCGTATACTGTTTGAGTTGAGACCACTGCTGTACATGATTTTATCGTGGAGTGGCGAATGTGCTTGGGGCTATAACTGTGCAACAAAGATCTGTTAGACCACATTAAACGAAGATCTAGTAGATCTGGTTGTAGACAGGGATCAAAGAGCACTGCAGAGAGTTGTGAAAGTCAGTTGAATGGAATCAGCAGAAAAAAAAAATTATCATGCACTCCAAGAAACTTCTGGATCTAATGACAGTTAGGGCAATGATAGTTTATTACGAACTTCAAATTCTTACTTTTCGTGGCGGAGCTTTTGCTTATAAGTCAAACAGTACTGCTACTAATACAAAGTTTCATTCACAAATGCAAACCTGAACAACACTGGAACTTGAACAATGATGTCACATGTTATGGAGCGATGGATCAAGGTATATCAGCTGGCAATGGTAGAATTAGGGTGCAGAGATTTCCTGGTGAAAGCTTTTTACCTGTGTTTTGCTGCAAGTAAAATTTGGAGGAGGGGAAGCATAATGGTTTGGGGCCTTTATTATTATTATTATTATTATTTGGTCTAGGTTCTTTGATTCCTGTACAAAAAACTCTCAAGACAGAAGCGTATTTCAACATTTTTTACTAAACTGTACTAATACTGTTTGAAGAGGGTCTATTCCTGTTTCAACATGATCCTGCTCTTGTCAGTACTGCACAGATGTGGTTTGCAGACATGGAAATTCAAGAATTGGACTGGTCTGTTCAAAGCCCAAACTTCTCCCATGGAACATGTGTGCGATGTGTTAGAACAATTACTCCAATCTAGGCTATGTTGCCGCAAGTCGGTGGTGGAACTGATCAGTGTTTTTCTGCAAAAATGTGATGCAGTTCCTGCTGAAACATTTCAAAAACTAATCGATAGCCTTCTCCAGAGAGAGGCAGTTGTTATTGCAGCAAAAAGGTGGATCTACCTCATGATAATTTTTCTCCTATCTGTGAAAGAGGCAAAACATATACATCTTAGTGTACTTCTGATCATATAGTTTATGTATTTAGTAGGTTTTTCCTGTATTTATAATTTCATATTATTATTAGGTTATTTAATATTATGTTATTTTTAAACATTAATGAGCTTTCCTACTTACTATTAAAGTTTTTAAATTGCTTAATAAATGTTATGAAGGAGCTAATTAATATAGCTAATATTCTTCCTCCTCCCTCCTAAAAATGCTTTAAAATACTATAAATTAAGAAGCGTAATTTTCTAATTAATTTCATTTCATTCATATATATATATATATATATGTGTGTGTGTGTGTGTGTGTATTTATTTTTTACAGGACCGTTGGCATTTCAACCTATTCCATTTTCAAAATCTGGCAATCCCATTATGTCAACTGTATCATTTTTGGCATCTGTTGTAGATCCCCGAATAGCAGCAGCTGCGGCACAGGCTGCTATGGGTAAGAATTTTGACATATTATTGTAATTATAATTTTATGTTGATTTTTGTAGTTTTTGATGAAAGGACTGAAAAACCCAGAAAAAGCCATAAAATTTTTTCATGTTTATTTCTTTTAATATGTTGATAGTAGACCAAGTGTGGTAAGATTTTAACCTCATTTAATGAGATCCTGTCTTTTTTTAAATAAATTAATTTTGAATGTATTTTAAGTATGAAACTAATATATTAATTCTTGGAAAAGTTGATAAAACACGCAAAAATATTTAATTTGAAGATTAATAACTGAATGATCTAAAGATATAGGCTATTCAGATAGTTGTAATCAGATAGTTTAAGAAAAGTACTTTATTATTAAAATACTATTCTCCTGTAAATGTAATACAAATTCTTTTTATTTTTTCAAAATTTGTTTCTCAATTTAATTTAATAATTTAATGTTCAAAATATGAAATGCAGTTTTTTTTGCCTTAATTAAATTCACTAAAATATATGTTAAGCTGGCCATAGATGAGGAATTTTAGCTGTGAAATTAGACTAGCTTGATGTGAACAAAATTTTAGAATCCGTTATTTTCAACCAGAATTATGCAAATTTTGGGTACTTTTCCATTTTGCTGGCACGAATCTTTCCAAGCAGACTTTATTGGCGACAATGTACAATATACACAAATAAAAAATGTTAACGAATGTTAGTTCTAAGAATTTTTTATTTTGAAGGCATAAACATTTTAATATTTAAAATTTTGTAAAAAGCCAATAAATAAAGACAATAAATTTGTAAAAAGACGTTCATTTAAGAATTTACTATGCTTTCATGGTTCAACATCCTGATTCGCCGGCTCATATCACTTGACACCAAGTGATCTCATCTCACGTAAATTATGTTACAAAAATCTAATTCTCTCAGTAATTATCTACATTAATTTCAAGGTAAATCTTAATTTGGAATATAAGTTTAAATGCAAGAATTATTTCAATTCGTACGAATAACTTACTCAATAATGATGTAAAACCGCAGTGCTTTACTTTGCTAGTGCATTCTCATTAGAATGGTTAAATTTAACCCTTGACTTTGCCTTTTATATATTTTCGCCTTCGGGTGAGGTGTGATTGCATCCTAATTGACTTAATTACCGTAAATGGCCTTAAGGCATAAAATTGAACTATCTGGTAAAATTTTTATGTAATTGTATGCCAGTATTGAAAGAAACGATCAATCTGATAAGAAATGGCTATGACTTATTTTGAAAGTTGAGGCGTAAAAGGTTATCAGCAAGGATATCCTGTTTGGCATCAATTGTACCATTACTTGCAAATTTATCACCTGCGCCAGCAAAACGGAAAAGTACCAAATTTTGATATTTTCCAGTGCTTTCTATTTTTGGTTCTAATTTAATTTACTATCAATGGATGATTAGTTGAAAATGAGTCAAATTTGTTTTGGAACATTGTTTTGGTATATGCATCTGGACTATTGCATGTTATTAGTATGTAGAATATTAATCTCATCTATTTTACAACCATCAAATAAAGTTTGCCAGAATCATATTAATATATATAATCAGTCAAATTAAGTCAAATTCATACTTTTTTGGTAATAGTATAAACACATTGGTACAAATATAAGCATAAGAATCATTTCTTAAAATTATATTCTTTAAATCGCTTCTTAAAACCTAATTCTAAATCAAAGTTTCGAAACTTTTCTTGCCTCGGAACACTGCTTAAGTTCTAAAATTTTAAAGGAACTTGCAGTTTTTTTTCTTTTGTTTTTGATTTAATTTTGGTTTATAGTTAAAATAAAAGGTAACAGTATTAGATAAACAAAATAAATGCTTATTCCAATTTCTATATCATACATATAAGAAAAAGTCTGTCCATTCTTAGTTTCGAAAAAGAAAGGGGGCTTTGTTGGTGAAGCCATATAAAACTAGTTATTAAATTAAACAAGTAATAAAATTATATAAATAAAAATTTTAATATATTTAATCTTTAGTGACTTGCTTGAAGTGTTTGAGCCTTTGAATTACAAGCTCTTTTAATGCCAGGTACAGTCTTATTAAAACCTGACTCGCATAAGTATGTTATCGCAGAAAGAACTGAAATACAAGTAGTTCGTTTTGATAAGTTTATATGTTCTCAGGTAAATTTATCCAAAATTCGTTTAAAGTTAATTTTTAAAATTTTTATTTTATGTCAGAATCGGTTTAAAATTAATTTTTTGAAATTAGCTATGCTCGTATCAGTCAGCTTAGCTGTTGTCATGAAAGGATTTAGGATTTACGAATTTTCCTTCTGGCACTGTGGGAGATATTGACCAAGTGTTAATTAAAATTCTCTCAAATGTTGTAATATTTCATTGTAAACTCTGTTGGTATATATTTTTAAAGTTCCTTCGTATAAAAAGTCATTTAAGATAGGAAAACAATCAAATTTATTTTCCTCTAGTGAAGGAAACCATATTATTAGCTTTTGTTTGAAAGACATAATTTTATTTGTTATATTAAAAGAGTATCTCTTACAGGTAATAATAAATTTATTTTGCTGTAGGTTTCTTCTCAATTAAATACTTGGTACCTACTGAGATTGTTAAGCAATTTATTGCCCTGCCTTAAAAAAAAAAAAAAAAAAAAAAAAAAAAAAAAAAAAAAAAAAAAAGAAACTTTAAACAAGTCTTTTTATTTACAACATTAAATGTAACAAGTACCATGGCTTGTATCATTTAATTTTTGAAGCTCGCAGGATTTCTGACAGCATAAAATGAATGAAAAATTAAACAGTAATTTGGGATTCACAAGTTAAAAGCTTAAGCTTTTAACTTGTGAATCCCAAATTACTGTTTAATTTAAAGTTTAAAGTTTAATTTAAAGTTAGTTTAGAGCTTAAGTTAAAAGCTTAAGCTTTTAACTTAAGCTCTAAACTAACTGCAGGAATAACTTGGCTGTCGAAAAGCTAATGCCTTAGTTATATAATTCTCAGAGCTCGGCGAGGGGATAACAGTGGTGATCATCATTGACAAAACTCTCAGACTTTGAGGAACTCTGTTCTTAAATACACATGTCTCATTTACTTCCTAGTGAGAGCTAATGAAAAGTAGAAATATAATAGTATTGTTCAAATAATAAGATAGTGGGTTAATTAATATAAACATTATCTTATTATACTCAGTAAATATATTTACTAAAGAAGCAACACTCAGTAGTTATGTAGGCTTTGTTAGAATTCCATGAAATTACCCCCAGAATGTTTGAGAAAAAGAAAAGCTCTGTTACTTCGCATAAAATTTAAAATAACCTGGATTGGATTAGTTGAGATTTTACATAGTTGATCATTTTTACAACTGTGTCTAAAATACTCCTTAAATACCAATTCTTCTATACCAAAGTGAGAGTGAGGCACTGTTTTACTTAAATGAAGAACAGAAATGCATTCTTCATTTATAAAAAAAAAGAGATTTTAGTTTTTCTCTAATCTGAATTTCATATGTGCAACATGTAATAGTTGTTTTACGGAAATGCTACCAATTATTTAAAAAAATATTTTTTTTTTTTTTAATTCTTAACATTAAAAGAAAATCTAGTTAATTTTGATTCAAAAATAGGGAATTTGGGGCTATTTCATTATATTTTTTGTAGATTACCTTCAATATAACTCCTCTATATATGCTGTGTAATGTTTGGGTTCTCACTGTATACGTATTGTTATCTTTTTAGACTGTTATTAATATATTATCTTATACTTGCAAATTACTTTTAATATTTTTATATTTAAATTACATTCCAAGTAAGTTCTGTATTTTTTTAATACAGAGGAATTTGCAAAAATTAAAGATGAAGTTCCATCTGCTCTTCTTGATGCCCACATTAAAAATGTAGAAGCTGCTGCAGCAGATGGCAATACTGATCCAAAATCGGGATTAGATATGACTGGCATTGCTGGCACATTGGACAGAGACGAAGGAGGTACAATACCAGTCTTTTAATCATATTGAGTATTTCTTATATGTAGACTCCAGCTATTATAGATTCTCCTAAGGAAATTCTTTAAAAAACTGCTAGCTATGGAAAATACAAAAACAATGACAGATTTTTTGATAAATTCTCATGACATCATGTATTAATTTGGTGGGTGGTCTTGCTGGTTTTGAAGAGTTGTTTATCTTAGATCAGCAAATTCTGACCTTATCTTTCCAAACAAAAATTTTGCAGTGTAGAGCTTGTTTACCCTTCAGCTCCCATTTGGTTATATTATATATTATGGCAAGAAAATGTAACACATGCTTGAGTTGTGACTAAATTGCAATTTTTTTAAAGTTTGTAAATTATGTTGCCTTTGAATGAGAAGCCAAAATTTTAGACTCATATTCTACAGAATTTCCATGCATTAAAGCATCTAAAATTTCTAAAAAAAAGTCATGTACTCTTTGCACTAGCAACAAATATTTTTCACTTGTGCCTAGCATAAAAAGTGACTCTAAACAGCGTGTATTTATTCAATGGCATAAAAAAATCAGTGTTGTAAAATTGAAAGAAATATCTAATTTCTTCATGAAAGGCATTGAAGCAACTATAATAAAAGCTGAATGCTACCTAATTCAATTTTTAATTGAATACAACCTACCAATTTCAGTTTTGGAAATTCAAAATAGCTTTTAAACACATTGTTCCCGGATTCTGCCATAATGAAAAGATACCTCATTTAAATACAACCTGTGAAAGAAATGTTTTCTATTTTCTATATAATGTATATAAATTGGACAGTATTTCGATTATATCATATGTGAAAACTAATGAAGCTATTTTCATTGAAAAAGTAAGCATGTAGGCAAGTGAAGATGTGCATATATAAATCGGACTGCATTCTGATCATATCTGGTATGACTAATGAAGCCATTTTTATTGAAAAAATAAACATGTACATAAATGAAGAATGGTGTTGTAGAAAGAGATTATCTAATTCAGAAATTGAGCTTGCAAAGCATTCTACTTGTAAATGTTTACATTCGTAATTTATAAAAAGAAATATAAGTACTTTTGTTGGTTATTAAATGTATATTTCTTGTCTTTATTTGGAATTGCATTTTGTTCCTTTTTTAAAATTTCCTTATAGAAATCAGAATTTATAAAAGCTTATAAAGATATATAGTTTATCGATTTTAACTTTCAGTACAAATGTTTGTAATTGAAAATATTTGCTTCAATAATATATTAATAGATTTAGCAATATTTCTGTTTGAGTAATAAAATGAAAATTTCTAATTGTTGGAAAATTCACATTTTCTCTTGCTTGTGCACAGTGGAAGCAGGATTATATAGCACTGCACTTTTCATCCTCTTCAGCATCATGCAGACACAAGGAGAAATGCAAATTGCCCAACACCTTCCCCTACAGAGCTGAAAAGAGAATGAAACAGGAAAAATACATTCATTAGAAAGTTGACTTATGTTTTTTCTATATTTGACTCTGCGGAGATTTTTTGTAATTGACTCTGCGGAGATTTTTTGTAATTTGACACTTTCTGATGTGGACAGTCTCAGAAAATTTCATATTCAGAACAATAACTGGTTAGGCTTTCTGATCTTTTTTGACCCATTTGTCAAGTTTGGCTTGGTTCTCTTTCTGAATTTTAATCTTGAATTATGTTTTCTTCAACATCTGCTCTTCCTTGATCTGGCACTTTGGAATTTTTCAGTAGCAACAAATTCAATGAATTCCTGTTTGTCAGCTGTTGAAGCTTTCAATCTTCAGTTTCTACCATTTTCAAAAATCGAATGTAGCGACTTTTTTTTTTACTTCACAGGTTCCAGTTTCCCAGAAAAGGTATGCTTTTGCTTCTTCAAAATGTCCTTTGAGAGTACATTCTTAAAATTTTGGGAGAAATTTGTTTTTCTTGAATTGGTTTATGAAAAAGCTGTAATTTCTATATCCTGAAACACGTTTGTACTGTAGGCTTCTTAAGACCAGATTTCTTCAGGCACTTGGCATCTACATTGTAGAACATTGGTTGCACGCGTAAGCAGTATTGAGGCAATTTTGACTTAAAAAGCAGACATCTGGTGATTGCAACTGAGGTACTATTGGCACCTTCTGCAACTCTGTTATGTTACTGTGTGTACTTGACTGAGAACTGACATTTAATGCCCTCCCTTTCTAAGAATTGGTTGAATTTATGGCTTTTGAATTCTTTATCATTATCACTTTGGACGAGTTTAATTTGCTTCCCAGTCTATTTTTCATCCTGAAATTCATATTTTTTGAATGGTTCAAAGGCTTCGGACCTTCTCCATGGGACGTACACAGTAATTTTTTCCGATTTGTCATCAATGAATGTTATAAAGTATTTTGCTCTACATAAAGATGTATCTTTCACTGGACTACAAATATTAATATGTACAAGTTCAAATACATCACAATTTACTCTGTCTGATTCTTTTGGGAATGGTAAACGGATTTGCTTGCCTTTTGTATAAGCTTCATAAAATAAAGTTTTATTATTATACTTTGTAATCTGTAGACCATGCACTATCATTTTAGAATGCAATATTTTCAAGTCAGCTAGAGTTAAATGAACACACCTTTCAAGCCACTGTTTCAATTTACTGTTTGGTGTATTTCCATTATGCTGTGCAATATTTGAAATTTCGGGTATGTCCTGTTGTTTTACAACATATAGCACATTTTGCTTTGTTGCATGTAAAACTATGTTCTTATTTTTATCATTAATTCATGCATGGTAATTTCTAAAATAAACAGCACATTTATGCTGCATCACTGAAATTACTGAAATGAAGTTTTTAAGGTCTTGACTGTACATCATTTAGATAATAGACAGATGTTTAGAGAGAGATATCATAATAAATGTTTTTCTGTGTATGGGACTGGAAAATGTTTTAAAGAGTTTATTGGTTTTAAACTTTCTCTCTTAAAAAAATTACATTACTCGTAGAATTTCACATAATTCCATCATACATGACTTAATTCAAAAACAATAGAAAACTTAAGGAGATTAGCAGTTGCTGTTTTGAGTATTATTTGTGATGCAATACAGTAATGAAAATTATGAGCAAAATTTCTGTAACACCTTTTAAAAAAATTATAAAAAAGTGCCTACCATATTGAATCTGCAGAATTTTTAATGTTTAGTTACTTGAGGGATTGCCTTAAATATGCTTATACATTTTATTTAGAACATTAACCCTTTTTATTTGGCTATCAGATGCTTCTGCTACTCTGGTAGCCAAGTGGCTAACCCTTCGATGAAAGCTAGTCCTTGAACACTCATAGAGTCCAACTCAAAATTAATTCTTTTTCCATTAAAAAAATTAATGTTGCTTAATTGATTGTAGAAATGTAATGCCAATTTTTTCAAGACTAGATATTATATATGCATGCTTTATTGCTGACTTTCATATCCTGCTTATGCTCTAGATTCTTTCATAAGACTTGGACCAAATGTATATGTTAAATTTTTACATCTTTTAATTACTTTGCAGGAGAAGGGGCTGACAAAGAAAAAAAAGACACAAGTCAAACAAGCCAAACACAGCAAGGAACAACTTCTTTACCTGCTAATGTGGAAGTGAAAGTCGAAAATGTTGAAAAAGTATGTTTATCTTTCAGTCTGTATAATAATTTTTTTTGCAAGCTTTGCTTATGGGTGGCATGTAAAATTTTCAAGTAGTTGATAGTTTTAGCTTATAATGCATGTGCTCTGCAAAACACAAAGGATTACTAAATGACTTAAATTTACTGATGGCCAACACATGAGGTTACTGATATAAGGGTATAAGGTAGTACAGTAAATTTAGAAAACATTTAAACTGTAGATGCCATTTAACATAACCAGAGGACACTGTTGATGCTCAGGCCAAGTAGAAGTTGTTGTCAAGGCCATTGGTGATTGTCAACCAGAGGGCATTGGTGATTGTCTCTGTGATCTATTGATTTCCAATCACCAGTGTTTGGGCAGTGCATTTTGTTGCAGTTGCAACATTTGTCGCAGTAGCAGTACATAAAAGTATTCAAAATAATATGATGTGCTACTGCAGAATTTATGGAAAGATTTCACTAAAGTTGTTTTTGTTGTCAGTATCAACTGAAAGTCTCCAGAAAAGGCTAAACATACCAAAAAGGTTTAATTTCTTATGAAATATTGTTGAAAGTTTTCTCAAAATAGAAACTGAGCAGAGCAAAATCGTAAGAATGTAAAAGAAAATTTAATGCATGAGGAAATACAAATGTGTAAAACTGGAAAAAGAAAGAAAATTAGCCTTTTCTTTTTTTCCCTTCCCCAAAAGCGAGTCAGTCAATTATGTTTGTCATAGCAGTTAGGCATTATATATGTGTTTGAAATGAGCTGTAGCTGTACTCTTCAATTTTAAAAATTCCATATAATGTTTAATAGGAATATAATTCTCCTTAAATGTATTGAATTTAATAGCAGATTTAGCAAGAAACAGGAATTGACTCATTTCAGTCTTTGTGAGAAACAGGCAGTAACCAGTCCACACGAGCAGTTCATTCCATACCTACATTACATAATGTATTTAAAATATAGATACAGAAGTCACTTAATATAAATTTGTATTTGTTATTTTGTTTAATGCAATTTTGTAAGAAATCTGTTTAAAGTAAACAGCATGTAGAAATACGCCCGTAATTCATTTTAAACAAATACTTTCAGTGACCGCATTTGCTGTGAATAATGCATTAAATGCATTATGATGGCCAATGGGAAGCCTGAGTATAAACTTTGCTAAGTAGAACTCTAAACAGTGCTGACGTATTGTTTTGGCTGATTGTCTTGTTAAGAATTCATAGACATTTAAATGAATTGTGTGGAATGTCAACCATACTGTTTCTGACAAGGGAGAACATGCCAGGTCCTGTTTCTCACCAGAAGCTTTCGTAATGTAGAAGTTCCTAAATTTCTTTTCAATCATTTATGAAAAATTTTTATCTTATGAAAGAGGATACTAACTATGAAAGAGGATACATCTCATTTCACTTAATTATCTGTAAGAATGACATATAAAAATATTGCCACCCTGGCCAAAACAGTTTTTAGCAGAGCTGGCTATCATATTATTGGACTAGGTTAATGTTTTCTAGTGAGCAGCACATTTTGGATATTTGTAGCTGTGTATTCTGCCCTTCTTATGGGTATAATAAGAGTCACCTCTTGGATGCATTCTGGGCTAATGTCTTAGTGATACATTGGCTAAATAACTGAAGGGTTGGACATTCTTGACAGATGCTAACTTATTAACATCTTATCCTTTAGATTAAAAAGTGCATATGAAACATCTAAAGGGACTCATCTAACATTTTCATGGAAACCTATTTTTAAATTTTAATAGAAAGCGTGTACACTTACCTGTTTCCAAAACTACATCATGTGACTTATGTACACCTAACAGATGGATGCAACAATGCTCTTCAAGTGTAAAAATGCAAAGTTTGCCTATTTCTTAATTTTAATAGAAAACTTATATGCTTACCTATTTCAGAAATTGCATTATGTGACTTATGTATGCCTACAAATGGACGCAGCAATACTCTTCAAGTGTAATGTAGTCTAGAATATCAGTTTTCGAAGTAAATGTTCATGTTGAAACTGCTCCGGTTTTATCGTTGCTACTTAAATTGCTGTAGTTTTCAGAATATTCTGTTCCAACTTGTCACATTCTAAAAAATATGTCATCACAAACTATTGCATATCTTAAAATTTGCTATTCAATGGACTGAGCCATAATACTTTTTGCAACTGCATCAGTGTTCGTAGCATTTTTGAAAAGTTTTATTAAAATTCATTAATTTTCTGTATAATGTTTCAGTCTGTTTTATTATTCTCTAAAAAAAATTCTCTCCTCTCCGTACATATTAACTGCACAGAGCTGTAGAAGAAAATTTATTTTTATAGTTTTTAACCATTCTTGATGATTTTGGAAATTGAGCACAAAACTGTCTTTAAATATTATGTAATACTTGCCATTTTTTTACAAATGTGATTTGATTTTGTTATGCATTATGAAGTCATTTTTGTTATTCATTAGAAGTCAGATGCTATATATTAATATATTTTGTTATATACTACGATAATATTTTCTTATTGTTATATTAGTGCATAATTTAAACGAGTTATCGAGATATAACAAAATTAAATATTAGAGCATGAATTTTTATTGATTTTTCTACAAAAGACCTTAAAGTACTTTTTTTGTGTTATGGAAACATGTTTGTCTGTATTTTTGTAAACCATTCTGCATAGCTTTCAAAGAAATTAATGAAAATTTGAAATCTTTCTTTGCACTCAAATTATGCAGTGATTATGCATGCTGATTTGTAAGGATCTAATTGCCTAATCTTTCTGGTCGGCAATGCAATTCTCATTTCATGTGAGGACTATTTCTACTGGCTTTAACATTGGAAGAAAGACTTGAAAATTTTCCTTCTTTCTGCAAAAAGGTTGTGTGTTTTTACCCAATCAGCACTGAACTAAAGAACTTTGCAAAGGAGAACCATTTTCCACTTCACATGGTAATCCCAAAGTCATCCACGGTAACTGATTGTTTTATATTGTAAGACAAAGCAGAAAAATTGTACTAAACAGTAGTTCTTCTGAATGGTCTTAAAATTGTTCAACATGATTTGGGCCTTGTCTGTGGAAAATGACCATGTATGATATTTGTTTTTATGTTGACTTTCTGTTCTTAAATGTTTCCTAAGATAGTGCAGAAGTCGGATATTTGTTTTTATTGTTGACTTTCCGTTCTTAAATGTTTTCTAAGATAGCATTTGTTTGCTGTATTATTAATTTTTCAGTGTGAAAAATTTACTGGTACTTGTTGCAGTCGTCAGAAATATTAAGTTTGCATATAAATGGTTTAGAGTTAATTGTTTGAATTTAAACCCGCATAGAGTTATGATAAATAAAGAAAAATATAAGACAAAACTTTCAAATTAAATTGAGTTTGGGTGATGCTTTCATTGATGAAGTGAAGTTAGTTAAATATTTAGAAACTTTGATTATAATTTGAATGAAAAACATATATTTATTTTCTTATTAATTTAAATGGGAAATTTATGTTATTTAAAGTAATATGTTATTCACCAATAGTAGCTTGTTTATTGTTAAAAACTAATGAAATTTACAAGTAAAAAATTTCATTTTGATTGTAATTTTTTAGACTGAACCCATGGATGTTGATCAGTCTTCTCAGGAAAAGTCTGAAATCTCTGCTGATAACAAACCTTTGCCTGCAAATACTGAATCCTCTGAGGTAACAGATCAGTCAGAGAACACAGAAGCAAATGCAGATAAATCTGGAACAGACAGCCAACAGGAATCTTCTGATGCAGTTCCACCAAAACCAGCTGAAACAGAGCAAGAACGAGTCTTAAAGGATGCTCAGCTCTCTACAGCGGCTGCTGCAGCTTTAGGAGCTGCAGCTGTAAAAGCTAAAGTAAGCTTTCTACATTTCATACTATTTTTTATGTCAGGGAAAGTAATAATAATTATATTTCTTTGATGATAAAAGTACTAGGTGTTAATTTGCAAATGAAAGCTGATTTGTATTTATTTAAATATGAAAATTGAATGTTTCTGTATTAGCAAATTTTTTTGAGAATTGTAAAGAACTTTAGTCTGTGTCATTTCTAAATGGCATATTTTATATGGCTGGCAGTGGTGTTAGTAATTGCAGAGATTAAGCAATATTCTAAATAGTAGTTACATTTGTTTTCAAGTGCTGTTATGTAATGTACAAGTGTGCTGCAACCTTCCTGGTCAGTAACAATCTGCCTCATGGTTAACGCAGCACACCCAAAACAGAAAAACAAAAATACAGTTAAAAGTTAAAAACAAAAGATAAAAGCAGAAATACAGTCAAAGACACCAAACCAAAATTCCCAGTATTTTCCCATTGCTACTCATAAAGCTCACCAAATCCTTTGCAAATCTAAACATGTTAGTGCTGCAGTAGAACTTCTGTATGTTACTGTGTCTTTCCCTAACATGTCTCAATAATTTGCAGTCTTCGACGAAATGTCATGCGTTGCCTTCAGCACTACAAAAACTACAACGACTACTATTTTGAAAATTAAATCTTTTCAGGTATGCCCGGAAGTGTCCGTGCCCAGTAATTATTTGATTGTAATTAAAATCACATATTATTCTCATATTTTTAGAAACTTAAAAGTTCAACAAATAATCTTTCTTTTTTCTTGAAAGTGTTCAATTTACATATAAATAAATTTTAATAACTAATATATAATATAAAATGCGTATTCTCATTAGTTTGAACTTAAACTAGCAGAACTACTCAAATTAATAAAAGTATGCTGGAAAGCTACCTTTAAAATGCTTAAAGAGGAAGGGATATACAGAAACTCAAAAACAATGGAAAATGTGAAAAACTAAAATTACATGTACTACAAACACAGATGAAAAAATTCAGAATCAAATTATGCCATTTTCAGGAGTTGGAAGCAATCATGGGCCGAGAGCGAGAAACTAAGTTTTTTCATTTTGAGTAATTTTGACTAATTTGTGTAATAGGCTTTTCAGAATTAAGGTTTTAATTTTATTCTCATCGCTAGTCCTCTTACTACCATAAAAGGATATAAGCAATTTATAAATAAAAACAGATGTATAACCTTGGAAAGAACTGATCAGTAGTTCTCTTATTACTCTTATTAAAATTTTAGACATTTTAATGAACTTTTTAGTTTTTACCAGATATTTTATATTTTTGTGATATAATGTGTAGCTTTCAGCAAATAAGGATGCACAAAAATTAAATAACTGAAAATACAAATGTATTCAAGAAAAAGGGAGAAAAGCTATTTTGCTTAAAATAATACTTATTTAAAGTCATGTAATAGAGAATATTATTACCGATTTAAAATAGAAACTGTGAATCTTGAAAATTATATGTTAAGCTACATTTATCAAACTCAGAAATTTAAATATTTAGGTAATGAAGCTGAATAGCACTTACTATTTTTCTCTAGTAAAGAGAATAAGCTGTTTTTTAAGTTTTAACTAACAAGGATATTTTTAGTTTATTTCTAGTATAAATTGAATTATAATTTGATGTAATTATAAATTGAATTTTTTATAGCATCTGGCTGCTGTGGAGGAAAGGAAAATCAAATCTCTTGTAGCTTTATTGGTTGAAACACAGATGAAAAAATTAGAAATTAAATTACGTCATTTTGAAGAATTGGAAGCAATCATGGATCGAGAGCGAGAAACTGTAAGTTTTTTTCATTTTGAGTAATTTAATTAACATGTAATAGGCTTTTCAAAATTAAGGTTTTATTTCTATGCCCGTTGCTAATCTTCTTACCACCATAAAATAATATAAGCAATTTATATATATATATATATATATATATATATATATATATATATAAATAAAATAAAATAAAAAAAAAAAAACTGTATAAATCTGCATGTTTCTAAGTATTCATTACTTATACCTAGAATAAATAGATATTGTTTCCCCCCCCCCCAAAAATTGCTAACATTTCTCACAGATGCCAAGGAAATTTGTTTGTATTATGGTTATATTGTCTTAGTAATATGTCTGTACTGATTTTATATCATTTTAGCGAATCACATGGTAGAATTAGCCATTATGATTTTTATTTATGGATTTGAATTTGAGAAATGTCTCAGAAGTAAATTTATGAAATTTGCAAATCGCTGACTTACCTTCGTATTGAATATGGTACCTTCTAAGAAACCTGAACAGTGGTGATTTCTTAGTGTCCTCTGAAATTCCTCATCTTATTCATGTTTAAGAATGTAATCTATTGCATTGTCTTTTGTTTCTGATTCAATTCTGTATATGTTTGTAAGAGGGAAATGTAAACAGTGTAAAAGTCAAGAGTAAGTTTTACAAGACAGAATCCCTCTCTCTTCCCCCCCTTTTTTTACTTTAATTGCTACTGATGTAATTCATTGTGACTTTTCAGTTTTGAAAAAGTTTAGCAAACGACCTTATATATTTCATTTAAAAGAAAAATGATTAAAAAGTTTAAAGAAAAATAATAACAATTGTGAAAGAGATTTTGAACAGCAGTGATGTTGATGTGATAGTGGCATAACAGGACTAAGGATTTAATCCCCAAAAAGAACAATGTATGACCTAGAAATCTGTGAAACACATTAGTGCATTGGTTTCAGAGAAGTTCATATTTCCATTGTATCTGTCAGGTGTGAGTTATTAAGGGACAGAACACCAGAGGAAGAGGCTCTCAGACCCAGCTGCTCGAGGCTGCCATACTCGGTTACAAATGCCTTAACCTGCAGGTCAATCCAGAGGGGCTTTAAGTGTGACACAGCACAATTTTAAGTACACATGAACAGTGGTGGACCACAGCGCATCCGCCAAGAAGATCAAAGTCACATATCTAGACATCATTCGTCCCTCAGTATTGACTAAGGAGAGCCCATCTCTGAAATCTACTAGCCACTTGAAATTTATAATATAAATGGAGCTATACTGTGTTACGGAGCATTGCCAGAACATATGTTAATATTTAAAAGTGAAACAGCAGTTCGTTTAAGAAACTGAAGGATTAAGTAACTGTTTTATTAATATGCAATATGAATTCAAATAAGAAGACAGTACTGGTTATTCACAAAAGCAGGAAACATTGATGCTGGAAAGGAGTCAAGAAGTTACATCTAATTTATCATAACAACAAGAACTCTTGGATGAAAAATAGTATTTTTACCGATTTTCTTTTGAAATGGAACAGCAAACTGTAAATGAAAATAATATCTCTGTTATTTAGATAACTATGCAGTACACTCATCCCTTCCTGAAAAACATTAATGTCTGTTTCTGTAAATGCTTCCAAGGGTTTTTGTGTATTATACAAGTTTTCAAATGCCATTATACAAAAGATGTTCAGTAAATGATGATGAGAATTGAATTTTGTAAAACTGCATGCACTTCAAAAGAGCTAAGTAAATCGTTATTTCTGCTAGAGGCTCTTTACATTATAGTCAGTGCAGGGGCTTAATCTCTTAAAATCAGTTTTATTTGAAAAAAATGTTTTCGGAAATGTGGTTTTTACGTAGAAGGAGTCTCAGAGGAGTTGAAAACTATAGCTGATGTTTCGGATAACATTGAGCGTAGTCATGAGGATTCATTTTTAGAACATATATAAATTCATGACAGTATTGAGACAATGTCTATAAAAACTAAGTTAAAAAGAACTGCAGAAACTGACAGTAAAAGTAATACAGAAAAACATAATGACATGCCATCGCCAGTTGAAAAGCATTTCAGATTCTAAGAAAAATTCTTGAACTGGTGCTGAACAAAAGAAAGTCGTCAGTAGTTTCACGAAATGGAGAATGCAACTAAAATCTTTTGTTGAATAGTATGAAATAAACATAGACTAGTTGTTTGTAAGAGATAAAACTTCATCAAAAATATAGTTATATTGGGTCAGTCCATAAGTTCGTGTGCATTAAGAGTATGCGTGGAATTCACTATGACGCATTTACTAAAACAATACAATTTTGAACCTGAACATATTATTCAGTTCGTCATCAACTTTTTGTAAATATCGAATACATTTTAATACCCATAGAAGATGAATATAGATAATCAGTACAAACATGCTGTGCAAAATTTTTTATTTTCGTGTGGTGAATCTGCCAGGTTTGCATTGATAAAAATTAATAGTGTACACGGGGAACACACTATTAGTGTAAGGACTGCCCAGAAATGGTTTAAAAAATTTTAAGTTGGAAAAAGCAGCATTGATGATGAATCCTGTTTCAGGACGTTCTGAACTGTTAGAACCAAATCAAACGATTAATTCAGAAGTTTATAGTGAACAAACAACTTTGCCGTCTAAACTCAGAATTGATCAAAAAACGCCCACGATTGGTAAATATCAAGAAAGTGTTGGTTCATCATGATAACGCTAGACTGCATACAGTTCAAACTACGATGCAAAAAAATTAGTGAATTTAACTGGGAGCTTTTGCCACATCCTGCTTACTCCACAGATATTGCTCCAAGTGATTTTCACTCATTTCGTGCCTTACAAAATTTTTTACTGGGAAAAAAATTAAATTCTAAACAGAATGTACACAATGAACTTTCAAGTTTTTTTGCATCAAAACCAGAGTCTTTCTACAGCAATGGCATAAAAAAGATGTCATTAAGATGGTGAGACATTGTAGATAATGGAGGAAAATATATGAAAAATGTTTAATTGTGTTTTTTTTTTTATATTAGTTAAAACTTTGTCAAAAAATGCGCACGAACTTATGGACTGACCCAATTAAAAAAAAAAAAAAAGAAAAGAAAAGAAAAGAAAGACTTTCAAAATTACATAAATATTTAATTTTAGTATTAATTTTTAATTATTATTTTAGGATTGAATGAATTAATTGTTAGTTATTATTTTCCTTGAAATTTTCAAAATTATTATCACAATTTGCGGTATATAAATCTCCATTTATTAAACTCAAAAACGCTTGGAACAAATGTGATTTAAATAAGTGGCAGATACTGTGTATAGTAACTTCCTTTCATTCATGTACAATTTTCCCAATTTATTACTTTTTTGGGGTGACCGGAAAAATGCTGACATGAAAAAAGCCCACTCAGAAATATGCCCGCGTAGAAAAAAGCTCACATGGAAATATGCTAACTTAGAAATATGCTCGCACGGAAAAAAGCTCACATAGATATATGCTACATGGAAATAAGCCCACTGATAAATAAAATATGTAGAAATATCCTTACATTAATCAATTAATAATTAATCGATTTGAACATCATATACCTACTTGAATTTTTCAAAGAAAAAATGATTTAAATTACCAAAACATCTATGGTATATGTATATATATCAAAAACTGTATAACTTATGTGTAGATTTAGTTGCTATATAAGATTAACAATAACAAACGGGCCGTTTTGAATTAGGAAAAAGAGAGGAGGAAGGAAGAAAAATAAAACAGAACATACAGCGAAAAATTATTACAATTTTAATTGCTAAAAAAATTAAATAATAGTAAGTATAAGTTACACATTTTATAATGTAAACACTTAGAAGAATAAGAAAATAGAAATAATTATTTTATTTAAATTACACATAAAATACCTTGTTATATATAAATTATGTATATTTCACATAAACATATAAGCATACCTTTGTGGCGTGGTGGTCTGCTCACTGTGAGCGTATTCCAGAGATCCGTGGTTCTATTTCCGGTGAAGGCTTTGCTCATTTTTCATATCTCCTGCTTCAAAATTACGTAATATCTTTACAGTGGCGCCCTAACTAAAAGGGTGGTGGATGATGATTCTCCACACCCAGGATTTGGTGATTGGGTCCTCTAAAAATTATTTCTCCCACCTTCCTAGCATGCTTTCGTGGTGTGGTGGTCTACACGCTGGGCGTGTATTACAGAGGTCCGTGGTTCGATTCCTGACAAAGGCTTTGCTCATTTTTCACATATCCTGCCCCAAAAATACCTAATGTTTCTACAAAATTACTGAATATTAGCTAGTATTTGTAAATATCTAATTGTATCATCGATTTCATCATATTACATGATTCGGGATTACCAAATGTAAGTTTTCATATTTTCTTTTTTTTACTTCAGTACGCCCTGTATTTACAATAGCTAGTAATAAACGTTGACAGGCTTAATCTTTATTTAGTCCTTCGGACAAAACCACATACTAGGATGGCTACAATTAAATAATGAATTTAGTACCTTATGACAGCTTTCATAATAATTTGTTGTTTTAGGAGCTTTTTCGAAGGCTGCTTCATAATAATTCCACACTTTGATTGGAAACTGTGGTCTTCTAGAATTTTTTTGGCTCCAAACGCAAACAACTACATTACATCAATTTCTGTAGATGCACATCAAAAGCATGCAAAAATAGAGTAAATAAAAAACAAAAATAAACTATTGGCAGTTACAGGGGAAAAAATGTACAGTGGGCAGTGGTATAAAATATTACAGTACATGCAGAATTTTACTATAGTTTTCATTCTTTTAGATATCGCCCCTGAAAAGGTTAATATAGCATTTGCCCAGTATTTTTTTCAAATGATCAAATAATTAAAAAAAAAAAAAAAAATTCAAGTAGGTGTACGATGTTCAAATCGATTAATTATTAATTGGTTTATGTCAGGATATTTTTACGTATTTTATTTATCAGTGGGCTTATTTCCATGTGAGCATATATCTTTGTGAGCTTTCTTCCGTGAGAATATATTTCTAATTGAGCGTTTTTCTATGTGAGCTTTTTTCTATGAGGGCATATTTCTGTGTGGGCTTTTTTCCTGTGAGCATTATTCCTGTGGGCTTTTTTCCTAGACCCTTTTTTGGTATTGCAGTTTACTTTCTCCCAGTATATTCTATCTCTTCTTAAAGTGTAAAGGTTGTACTGAAAGTAATGCAAAAGTCAGTCTAACTCTTTTGCTAACGTGTAGAAATTGTTCAGATTCTGTGTGATGTTAAAGTGACTTTTCATTTATAGGTAAGTAAGTGCATTTAAGTCATTGTTGAATCCAAATCTCAAATCCTCTTTGGAAAAATTCAGGTGTGTCCTACGTCTTTATGGCCTTTCCCTTTTACCTCAGCAAATCATTGTTCCTATAGATTGTTCTTTATTGGACCAAAAGTATAGAAGTTTAAAGGTGGAAGACCAGATCTGTATGAAGGGTAAAAGGTAGGAAATCACTGTCCAGCCTAGTTTGCATATTGCATGAAATGTTCCAAAAATGTATGAGAGTGCACATTCTGATGGTGAATATGGATTCCATTTATGTTCTTGTGTAATCTCCTTTACCACATATTTCTACGCAAGAAATTTGGCAAAATTCTGATATCTGTATATGTGGGGAACAGGGAACTCCTGATCATTACACTTTTTCATGCCCCTTAACTGAGGATATTTACATAAAATCCCTAAGAACTGATCTCCTGGCATTCCAAAGGTTTTTAATTAAAAATAAACATCAGTATCCAAAGTTTCAGAAAATTATGCAACGTCTCTCTTACTACGGCTTAGATCTCTGTCAAGTGTAAGTCCACGTACTGCTTAGTGAATTTTTACATGCTGTGATTATGGACAAAATGGCTCCCCTCGTGAACTTTATAAACTGCGATAAACCAATAACCATGGACACCCACCTCTTTAGCAATTATTATTACATTTCATTTTAACATTGTGTTGCCAGTACTAATTATAATTATCTAATTATGTTTATCTGTTTATTAATTATGTTTATCTCCTATTTTTGTTGCACCAAATCAGATGTTCAATTTATCTTGTGAATCTCAAATTGTATTCCGACTATTTTGTAATCTACTTATGTCCTACATCATTATTTTAATTAAATACTGGATGCACGATGTAGCATAATAGGCAAACTCTAGACCTTTTGGAAAGCTTCAGTCTATGTAAATTCTTAGAAAACTTGCAATTTCCCCACTTTTTTTTCTTATTTATTTATTTTTTCCCCCTAAGAGTTAGTATGGGAAGGCATTACCAATTGACCTATGTTACATCGCTGGTGTCCCCCGTACTTTTACCTTTACCTGTAAATCTCCTTTACCTTTAATAGTTTCATAAAGTTTTTACAACATCTAATTTATACCATTTGCTGGTCACAGTGCAGTCATTTGGGGAAAAAAAAAAAAAAAGAGTGATGCCCTTATCATCAAGAATGCACATTTTCATACTTGCTATAAGATCTGCTCTTACATTTGGGAGTTTGGAGGGATTTTGAAACTAAATTTCAGCTCTTAACAGCAATAAAATAGAAAATTAATGACATTTATTCGGAAGGAACAGAAAATAAAACTGAATTATTAGAAAATTAAATCTTCATCATCACTAATACAGTAAAGTCTACTGTAAATGAATAGCATAGCTGCCAGTTTTTCTGGTTTTATTGGCAGACACCTGTTTTTTTCATCATATATTCTGACAGATACTGAATCTTTTGGTTATTAATTTTTAGACTTTACTAAAAAAATCATGTTAAATTTTATTTCATCTGAATTTTATTTTTTACTTATTACCTTTTTCTTACTAATTTTTTTAAATTAAGTTTCATTTTATTCAAATTTTGATCTACCGCAGACATTTTTAGATTTTTATATAAGGATTCAAGTAATGTTTAATCAGTTAATATTTGTGTTTAATTTTTTTGACTTGTATATATGGTGCTTTACTAAGTTTATCCAGATATTTAGGTACAATAATTATTAAGTTTATTATTGGCTTGTATATATGGTGCATTACTAAGTTTATCCAGATATTTAGGTACAATAATTATTAAGTTTATTATCATTATACTTAAAAAAAGTATTTTGATAAATGAAAGCTTTTTTCTCCTAAGCATTTTCCGAGTATGAAAAAAGTTATAAAATGAAATTAGTCAGAGAGCATGAAATTTAGAATATATAAATAATTACATACTAATATATTTTGCATCAGAATTGTTTTACAAATAGTTAATACCCTGAATCATTCATTATAAATTAAATTAAAATCATTTTGGAGCTCCTAAGGAATGGTATTGCTGCACAACGTGGAAACCTGCTGGTGTTCTTATAGAAATTTCTCAGTTTTTCGGATCTCAGAGTTGGCAGCTTTGTGATTACATTTGCACCACTTGTTTGTTAGATCTTTTTGGGGAATTTTTTTTTTATTTTGTATTTTATTGCAGAAATAATAAAATATTTGTTTTCAAATAATTTAAAACTGTTACTAGTAAATTTATTCCCTTACCAGCCCTACAAATGCATCATTGCTTATTTTCTCCCTCTCCCATTTCTTTTATTTTTTTCCAGTTTCTTCCACTGCATAATAACTTAAATCTTTCTTTTGTATTGTTTCGTGGCTGGAGTCTAGCTATAAGAAAATAAATGCTGATTGATTGCCTTCCAAATCAGTTTGAGCATCTTTATTCATGTTTATCTTGATTGCCACTTTCCCCTCCTTTAGACTTCTTCATTCATCTGGGTTTTGCTCTTATAAGTGGTGTCATGTTTGCAGTCTTGTAGCTTTATCTGAATTTTTGGTAATCTTTCTTTTTTGAACAAATTAGTGAAGGCACATTGCTTTTAATTTCATATTCATTATTTACTTGCAATGAAGAGAATTATTACTGCATACTGTTATACACTGATTACCAATAAATATTTGGATACCTATGCAAATGGTGATATCTGCGGTCCTAAGGTACATCACAGACTCTGCCGGTATATATCGGGTAGGAAACTGCATCGGCTTTAGTCGCATGCAAGATGCCTCACAGTTCGGAGCTCTCTGATTTCGAGAAAGGTATAATTATCGAGTATCACAAATTTGGCCGATTCTTAAGGGACATATATAGCGATCTGAAGTACCCAAAATTGACAGTGGCCTATGTCATTAAGAAGTGGAAGGTGAGCGGTGGTTGTCGGAATGTGCCCCGAGTCTGCAGACCAACGAAACTGGAAGATAGAGACCGACGAGTGCTGTCCAGAGAAATTCAGAAGAACCGAACCCAACCGATGGCCGTCATCCACGAGGAGTTTCAACAGGCATCCGGGAGTATTGTTTCAATGAATACCATCCGTAAGGAAGCACATCTGCTTGGCTTTCATGGTCGTGCTGCTGCCCGTAAGCCTTTGATCACAAAGTCCAACCGCGCTGCTCGGTTAATGTGGTGCAAAGCACATCGAAATTGGACCGAAGATCAGTGAAAACGGGTTCTTTGGAGTGACGAATCAAGGTTCACCCTTTACTGTTCGGATGGCAGGGTCTGGGTCTGGCGTCTACCTAGAGAACGTCTCCTGCCAGAATGCATTGTGTCAACAGTCAAGTTCGGCGGAGGTGGAATTATGGTCTGGGGGTGTTTCTCCTAGTATGGGCTGGGACCTTTGGTCCCCATTCATGGTAAGCTCAACTCCGATGCCTACTGCACTATTTTGGATGACAATGTGCTTCCTATGTTGTGGCAGTTTTACGGGTCGGACCCCTGTTACTTTCAGGATGACAATGCCAGTTGTCATGTTTCAACGTTAACAAAGGCTTGGTATGGTGCCAGTGGAGTTCATTGAATGGACTGGCCTGCCCAGAGTCCAGACCTGAACCCCATCGAGAACCTCTGGGATGAGTTGCATCGCCGAATTCAGGGGTGCACTACCCGTGCAAAATCGGTGAAGGAACTTCTATGTCTTCTCCAAGCCGAGTGGAAGAAAATACCACTAGCTGCCATACAAAGACTTGTAGAAAGTATGCCCCTGAGGGTCCACACTGTAATTACCTCTCGTGGAGGCTCTACCAACTATTGATTTTGAATAAAGTTTTAATTTCTATCACAGGTGTTCTAATACTTATTGGTAGTCAGTGTATAGAGGAATGGAAACTTTAATAGTATGATAAGTTTGTACAATCTGTACTAGTTAATAGAAATGTAAGGCTGACTTTCACATTATTTTCAGTATGATTCTCATAGTTTTCTTTCCGCTTGTGTTTATGGGAAGGAGAGCCTGTAAATGTGAATGCACTTTTTGTCGTAAAATAATTTTATGAAACTAAAATTTTAAAATTTGTCAAATTTTAAACTTTTTTTTAGCTTGAATATCAACGACAGCAGTTAATTCAAGAAAGACAGCAGTTTCATATGGAGCAGTTGAGAGCTGCTGAATTTCGTGCACGGCAGCAAGCTCATGCAATGCTGATAACTCAGTCTGGTGGAAGTGGAGAACAAGGTCGGGATTCACCATCACTTCCAGGTCAGTGTTCTTCTCAGCAGTCTCGCTCGACGTATCCCACTTCGAAGTCTCCTGGTTCAAATGCTGGTTCTCTTAGTCATCAGTCCGTTGCATCCCCTTCGATAGCATCTCCGCATGCCGTCCCTGTCCCTGTAGCTGCTACAACACCTCAGCCCAGTCCAAGTCCTGTTCCACCTTCTCCATCACCTGCGGCTCCAACTTTGCATCCACCTTCCCAGCCTTCACCTCATCCTTCTCCTGCACCTCCTATACCTTCACCTGGCCCACCTCAAATTCCACCTACTAATCAACAGATGCCTATGCATACATATGTAGGACAGCAACCACCACCCCAACAGCAACATCCGCCTGTTCAGCACACATATATGCCATCACACCCACCTGCAGGGCCTCCTCAAAGTATGGGTATGGCTCCTCAAATGATGACTCATCATAATAGACCTCCACCGATTCCTGGTCCTCATTATCCTCCAGCTGGAGCATATCCACCAAATGGATCAGTGATGCCTCACGGTGGATTACGACCTGTTGTTCCCGGTATTATGACTGCAGGTGGAATGCCTAGTGGAGTACCTCGTCCTCAACATGGTATGTCTTAATTTTCTAGTTTCCTTTTTTTAAATGGTAATTTTCTGAAATCATTGAATTAAAATTTATGACTTAATGTTGTTCTAAAGATCTTATCCATAAATTGTCCATTTGTTGCACAGCTTGGTTTTTTTTTTTTTTTTTTTTTTTTTTTTTTTTTTTTTTTTATGTTTATGCCTAAACTTAGAATATAAATGTACCTAACAGCTGCAGCTCAATTTTTTTTTTTGTAGCTAAATTGTTAGAAAATAAATTAAGCATATATATCAATTGGAAATCGAACTGGATACAATCATTATATGTCACAGTGGCAGTCAAAAATTCAGTTTTATGTCACAGATGTATTTAAGGTTTAGTGGACTTTAACATTTAGCGAAAGATATTCACCATTCATTGATATCTGACAATCAATCAATTTCATGCTGCCAGATTCTGTCTTTGCTAAATTAAAACAATGGTTTGGCAGTGTCTGTTATGTGCCCTTGACAATGCATCGAAATGTCTTTTTAGTTAAAATACTGAAATATTGTGTAGTATTTTTATAAATCAGACATGACACAAAAGAGTGTGCAGTATGAAAATCAAGGGCATATGTGATTATAGATGTTGTAATTTTTATGACTATAAATAATGGGTATTAATTTTTGGAAAGAACTGTATAAAAATTATTTCTTTGATTTTTTAATAATGTGATTTTGTAGTGGAAACTATCTTTTAAATATATTAATTCTTAACTTATGTACATTAACATGCTGAAAGTAATTTATGATCGTATATCATAAATTACATTCTACAATCAGTGCTGCTGATAACACTTCATAAATACTTTCAGATGGCAAGGTATAAAAAGAAATGCTGTTTCATCCAAGATGGAAACATTAATGTCAGAAATGTGCAATTTTTGTTTTTTAGTAACTTAATTAGCAATAATTTATTATTTATTGGCAATATTTTATTATTTAGTACTTTTTTTAGTAAGTAAATTGGCAGTTAAAAAGTGTTGAATCCTTTTGGTAGTAGGCATGGAAAATTACATGTCCTTTCAGTGAAAGTAATGAAATATTGTGCAGTATTCTTATAAATCAGACATGACACCAAAGAGTGTGCAGTTTGGAAATCAGTGGCATAGGTGATTATGTATGCTGTAATTTTTCTGATAAATATTGAGTCTTAATTTTTGGAAAATACAGTATTTTAAAAATTATTTATGTTGTTGATTTTAATAATGTGATTTTATCATGAAACTATCTTTTAAATATGCTATTAACTTATAATCATAAATTACATTCTTTAATCAGTGCTGCTGATACTTTCAGATGGCATGGTATAAAAAAGAAATGCTGTTTCATCCAAGATGGAAACATCAATGTCAGAAATGTGCAACTTTCATTATTTAGCAAATTTTTAAATTTGCTGTTAAAAAGTGTTGAATTCTTTTGGTAGTAAGCATGGAAAAATTATCATTTTTCATATGTTTGTGGTGAAAGTTTAGAACTTTTTGTTTTTAAATCAATGGGGTATAGGGAATGTTTTATTAGCTTTAGTATGAAAACTATATAAAAAGGTAGAGATTTACAAAACCATCTCGTCACAGTATTGAAAATTTTGGAAAACCTTTCTACTTTATTGTAAGAAACTTTGAAACAGGAAGTGCTTGTTTGAAATTAGTATTTAAGGAGAGAGGACCTGTAGCCTCTTTTTTTTTTTTTTTAAATATCTTGCATAGCAGAGTTATTAAACAGTGTAATGTTAATAAAAATATAGATAAAAAGTTGCTTCATTTAATCTTTAGGTATTTTTTATCTGTTATATTTTAGAAAATTGTAAGGAATACGTATTGTACTATTGTAATAAATAATTTTATATTCCAATTACTTGGGTGGTTTTTTTTTTTTTGTTTAATTTTAAAACATACTATTATTATTATTATTATTATTATTATTATTATTATTATTATTATTTTTAAATTCAAATTCATCTTACCATAATTTTTGGATGGGAAATTTGTTTTGATTGAATCCAAATCATTCACAGCTGTATTGTTGAATAATAAAAATAGTTCTTTATTTTGTAAAGAAATGAAATTATTCTAAAAAATGAAGGGTACTTCTGTTTAATAATGAGGGGAAAATATTCCTTAAGGGGGATCAATAGCTGAAATGGACATTGCAATAAGGGTAAGACAGTCTTAAGTCTTAAGGTAAGCCAATGTGAGTAAAATTGAACAATTCGTGAGTATACTTACATAAAAGTAATTATTGATATATTTTTATCTATTAAAAAATTATTACCTTTCAGTTGCAAGTTCAGAAAGCTGTCATTTATGTTTTGATAAACTATTTTGTCTCATCAAGATCACACATAAATTTTAAATGGATTTTATAATACAGAATGTGCAATAAGCTTTCTCTTGAGTTAAAAAGTATATTTTTTAGCAGCACCAAGTATAAATTCTGAATGAATAATAAAATGGTATATCTTTTGTCAATTGCTTGACTTTTTTTAATCATCATAGCTGTGTGGTATAGTCAGTAAAAGGATATTCTATTTATTATAAGGTTTTCGGTTAGCTTCTTGTTTTTTAAGGCATAAACTGAAATTCTATTAATGAAATTAAATTTAAATAGGAGTAAAGTACTTTGTTTGAACCATGCAGTTTTACATGTAGAATTGTAAAGACTTCTAGAAATATGAAGACATCCAGCATCCTGTTTTACCTTCTAAAATACAGTCGTGGCAAACCCAAGATGAAGGTTTAAAATAAAAATCTTTATTTACTTACTAGCCTAAAAGTTACATACCAAAACTTACAGTATAACCAAACACCTGTGCAGCTTGTACAGAATTTAGAGTTCATATCAAGTTAAAATATTAAATACAAAGTGCAAAAGACCTATTAAGCTTTGGCATGGCTGTCAAGCTTTCATGAAGGAATTGTGGCTAGCAGAGCTAAAGCCAATAAATTGTATCAATAGCAAAGAGCTGTAACAGTGACTGACCCATAGTTACCAAAGGATTTTATATAAAAAAGTATTTACATTTCTGCTGGTTCTATTAGCATTCAAAATGAAATACTGGTGGTCGTTAGAGTCTCTCTCTCTCTCTCAGATATTTTGAATGTAAATTCAGTTTAATTTTGTATTGAAGGACTCGAGAGCTATGTCAGTAAGACCCTTTCCCATCATGAAAGGAAGTGTCAAAGTTGAATTAAAAAGTGTTAAGATTTCTGTATAAAATAAAATTATAAACGAGGAAACCTCTGTTGTCCTCCAAGTCAGTTTAAACTTACAGAAAAATCCATCAAGTCTGTTTGAACTTATGCACAAACGTTTTATTAATTAGATTATAGCTTAAAACATTTTATCTGGGAGACATGTTACATAAGTTTAAAACATCATTATGGGAAGTATTTATATCATTTATGGATGAGAAGTAGATGCTTAAATTTTCTTAGGGAGTGCCCTGTATGTTAACAGTAATTAATGTCAGAAGTCAGCTATGAAAGTAACATTAGAATTTGTTATTACTATGACCGTTCTCTTCCCTTATTCATGAACAGTTCTCCAGATATGATTTTTGAAAGCAAGGCTCCCTTTATGCAGTAAAGTTCTTGAATAAGAATAATGTCTAGAACACATGTCAGTATTTTTTTTTTTTTTTTTTTTTTTTTTTTTGTACTAGAGAGCTGAAAAAGTGCAACTTAATTTAAATTTATACTGAAAATTTTCATTAGAGCAGTGATAAAATTTTCAAGTAAAACAAAGTTCAAGTATAAAATTTCAAAGTAAGAGTGAAAAACTATAAGAGTCCTATAAAGTGATAAAATTCAGTGATGTTAAAATCAGTAAGATATTATAATCAAATCCAATAAAATAAAGAAAAATAATATAAAATCATAAACATGAATTTATAAAATCTAAAAGTTGAAATGTACAGCAAATTATTAAAATCCAAGTATTCAATGTAAAATACAAGTCCTGATCAAGAATCTCAACTAGGATGTTTAAAATCATTCAGTGGGTGTGTACATGGCAAAAACTTAAAATTATAAAAATAGTAAAATCAAAATCGTCTAATCTAAAATCCCCAGCTGCAGTGAAGTAAACATTAAAATTTGTGTATATTGGTAAAAATCTGTATCCAAATGGTTTTTCAACATATATTCTATTTTGTTTATGTATACCGAGGCATTTTTTACGGAGGTATCATGGTGGTAGTTATTATTCATTCCATATTCTTAGTTTGCTTCAATACTTATATGGTTGAATTTTAACAAAATTTCGCTGTATATGCATTAAGCATGTGGGCATCATATCGTGGATCATGGTGCAGTCTTCTGTTGAGCTGCTTCTTTCGTGAGATGTCAGGTGTACAAGATGACCAAAGATGAGAAAGATCCAAAACATCAACAAGCAAAAAAAAAAAAAAAAAGACACATATGGTAGGCTAGAAAAGAAGAAGATTAGCAACATGCAAGGAGATATCATGAGCTCAAGCAATTTTTCTAACATAAACCTACTATACTTTAACGAAAGTTTTGTAGAGCAGAAAAGTTTTTGCCTGTGCATCCCTTACTACTTGAGGTAGCAAAAATTGATTGCAGGATTTGTTGATGATGATACTGAAAGCTTTCTATCTTGAACAAATAGATATTGATGAAATATAGATTAGAGACTATGAGCCAGAGTTGAAGCTGCTATCAGTCCAGTAGATAAGTCCATTCTTTTTGCAACTGCCAAAATTTTGACATTTACAATCATGGGAAGTAAATAGTGATTTACACCTACGCTTTCCTAGGTCTCATCTTGAAAGATAAGAGCTTTATGTAAAAAATGTGCAAGCACAGCACATTACATTAGAAAGTTAGGAAAATTGTGCAGTAAAATGACTTAAAACTACCTTAGAGATGAGTAATTCATTTCAAATGCTAATGCACAGCTTGTGTGTGAGAAATCTGTGACTAGTCTGTTGACAGTACGAGTTATGAAAAGCATGACTGA